GATACACAGAGGATCCATCTGATCTATTATTCAGCTTTAAGTGGGTGGAGTGACACCACTTAGTCTGAAAAAGTACAAGAAGACTCAATTTTTCATAGTATGCTGTACCACTCCTTATCCTCACATGCCAACAACTCCCCACTCCATGCAATTTGTCATCTTATATACATCCCATTAACAGTGTACTACTGTGTGATACATTATAGTGCTCGGTAAAGCACAGCAACTTCGTCTCCAAAGAAGCACAATGTTGTCGTCATTTTCTCCACGTTTTTCTTCACCTGTGTCAAGGGTGCTCGTAGGGAGATGAAATATGTGTGGCTGTTATGTCAGCACATGCCCACGTTGTATAACTTAACAAGGTCTGTTGCTCTGAGGCACAGATAGCAATCTATGACTGTTTAATAGAGGAGTCATAAATGTCTCCAGCCCCCAACAGCTTTGAATTTAGAGTTGTGTTAAAACATCCTGCTGCTTTAAGGGTTTTTTTTAGGTGGACAAACATATTCAGTGATGCAATGAAATAACCAAATGCTTCAAACTACAAGAAAAATAAATGATTCGGACTGTTTGAATTGGTTACTGGACTAAATCAGAGAATGCAGACCCCTGAGATTACTGGTTCTAAACCAACGCTCTCCAGGATCCTCATGACATTCAACAGCAACAGTGGCAACTACCAACACTACAGGACAGAGCTTGAGTAATAGCTTAACAAACCCCCTGAAGGGAGATTTAAGGAGCTGGACATGATGTGCACAAGCATCTCAACATACTGTTACTGCTGAGATGCCGTGCTCTGCAGGCTTGCTCCATCTTGTCTGCATTCCACAGAAAACACAGGGAAGTTGCTTGTGGAAAATTCCACCTTTGTGGCATTTAGGGGGGCGGGGGGGAGAGATGGGAAAGATAAAGGGCACGATCCTAGTTACAGCCACAGTGTGAATCTAACATGAAGAGGGTCATGTTACTTTCTGATTAAAGGTCGGGTGTTGGGTCTGCCGGTTGATTTATAAGCAATTTCAAATCAGTGAGTGATGAAAATACTTGTGAATCTGAAGCATTCAATATTTTGGGAAATATGCTTGTTGGCTTTCTTGCTAAGAGTTAGATGAGAGGATCAATTCTACTCTGATGTCTGCATGGTAAAAAAAAATGAAGCCACAGCCAGCAGCTAATTTGCATAGCTTAGCTTAGCATAAAGACTTGAAACAGTTAGCCTGTATCTGTCCAAAGTAGGAGCATAGTGGGGGGTAAAGCCAAGTAAACTCAGTTTATCCACCTCTTTGTAATGAGGCTGAGAGCTTACTCGTCTTTTCTTAGATCATTGCATCAATCAATGAGGGGAAACAACACAGTTTACCCACATTTATATTTACCACTACACTCCTGATCCAATAGTAACCGCTATCATCACCTCTAAAGCTCAATAACAAGTTATATCTGGTTTGTTTAATCTGTATAGAAACCAAACTGTAAAAACAACACGTTGAAGGTTTTGAATATTTTGACAAGACTCAAGGAACTGCAGCCAGCTGGGAAATAGTCCCACACATGACCCCACATAAACACGGAGATAATCACACATTTACGCTTCAGTTTTTGTGCGGATAAGAAAAGAGCAAGTCTGGCTGATTCCCCATTTCTAGTCTTTGCTGGCTCTGTTTTCATATTTACCATACAAGTAAGTATGGACCAGTGTGTGATATTTAAGCATTTTAGGCATCTAGCAGTGTCTTTACTTACAGCAACTCACCTTCACCAACAATTCTTATTTTGTGGTTATTGTACATTAATAAAAACATACCTATGAACATTATATTTTATTTCTACCAATAGAGCCTCCTATAACTGTATTTCACTGGTACAGTTTGTGTTGTTTTCCGCCTAAGAGCTAAGATACCCAGTCTAGTGTCTGCATCTGGTGCACTAATAACACATTAGGTATTAAACTGTGAGCTAATAGCGTCCACAAATATGAAATGCAAAAACACAAATCTTATATAAGCCTACAGTACAATTCAAATTCAAGGCTGGTTATTTATTCATATACAAGATGTAAACATTCTGTATCTGAGCTGTTTTTTGGGCTCCATGTAGAGACCTGGTTTGATGTCAGAATTTCAGAGTGTTGCATGATATTTGGGAATGTCGCTGGAGTTTTTGAGTGAAGTAGCGTGCTGAGTTTTGCATTTGGATGAGTTTTCAGGCATTTATATTGAAAATAAAGAAACAAACTTGAGCAAGCAGTTGCCAATACAGCTTCACTATTATTCCTGGAGTTGAATTCAACTCTCAAACCCCCAGTTTGAGCCCTGCCGTGTTAGCTGCCTTTTAACTACAATCATTTAAAGAGATTAAAATCGGGGCACTGGGTTTATGCATTCACACAGCATTCAGTATGAATCAGCAACCCTGAGGGACACTGGATTGGCTCATCAAAGGATAAATCTCTGCAAACTGACATGTCAATGCAGCCTGTTCCTCCCTGATATACATTTATTCCTCTCTTGAAATGTATCTCTCCCTTTAAAAAGAGATCTTGATCTCAGTGAGACAACCTGAATAAAGATAAAACAAAAACTAATTCACCCCTGAGTAATAAATTATAAGCCACATATTGTGAGAATACTGACATAGCACATACTGATACTTGGTTCACATCAGGGTAGGTTTCAGCTCAGTCAATTCAAACTGTGACTCCCATCTTCCTGGTGAAAGATTATTAATATTCATCTATTTCTCAGAAGTTCATATGACAACATTTTCATGCCTGTTTATAGAGTTTTTTTCTCCAACTCAGCAACCAACCACTCCTCTTGTTCTTTTTCCTCTTCCTTATATTGTGATACACTGCTGGATAAGGAGCAGTGCATCTTGAATATCTTTCAAGTCTCAGCACAGCGGTGCATATCTTACCTGACAGTGGTGGAGTTGCAGCAAGCTGCAGCCCCGGTGCCTCAGGGCCTTGAACCCCACCCCCACCCTCCTTCAGTGTGGTCCATGTCCTCACCGGTACACTGGAAATGGGCGTAATCTGCTATACGGCCTCCATGTCGTATATTATGTAGGCATTGCAATGGTAGAGTGGAAGTTTCACTGCTCAGGCTTGTTAGACATGAAATGTAGCTCTTTTTCTCTACCTGCATTTAAATTTTCTCTCTTTTAAGAGCATTTTGACTGGTTACTGAATTAAAAAAGGCTTTGTCTTGTAACCTTTGTGCGAACTACACTGATTGTAGATTACATTTAAAGGAACAGTTTAAAATTAACAGGAAAAAGGCTTTTTTTGTTTTGAGAGTTAAATGGGAAGGTCAGTACCACTGTCATATGAAGCTCCAGCCAGCAGCCAGTTAGCTTAGCTTAGCACAAAGACTAGAAACAGGGGTAAACAGCTAGCCTGTCTCTGTCCAAACTAACTGCCTGTAAAACCACAACATGTCATTTTCACACTTTGATTTTTTGTACAGATCAAACAAACAAGATATAATGTTTTAATTAGTGAACTTCAGAGATTTTGTCACTTGGACAGACATAGTACACAAGGTCTGAGAGTGGTATCGATCATCTTATCTAACTCTTGGAAACGAATAAGCCATATTTCCAAAAATGTTAAACTATTCCTTGTGTAGTAAAATCAGGCTGTCAGAACTATAAAGCCAACCATTAAACCCCAGAACCTGCAGATTTACGTGGATATTAAAGTGACATCTCAGCCTTTTCTCAGAAATGGGTGTTAATCAGTATAAATCAAGAAGTATTGTTGTATTCATCAAGACGGAACAGGCCAAACTTTCACCCTAACTCTGTGAGGCTCCTTCTCACCATCTTGAATACAGAGCTCCTTGCTGACGTGCATTGCAGCATTCCAGGCAAGCTGAGACACGACTGTGTTTGTTCCCTGTCTGAGGGAATCAGTTAAACTGGGTGGATACGTAGAAATGGGTCACACACATTCAACTATGTAACTTAAGAGTGCAAAAACTAAAATAAAAAATCATGTTAAACTCATGTCACCTCCTATCAGGTGTTCTGAGGTAGCGCATTGCTTTCACGTGATTTAAATATTTGTGTCCAGAGGAAACGCCAGAATGGGCACTGCAACATTTTTTCTTTTACAATCAAGTCCTGTACTTAAAAAAAAAATTAAATGAGCTGATTTACTTAAAAGTACAATTTTTCTATGGCATCAGTAGCTTCGCTCAAACAGGGAATAAATCCTCTAAACAACACGCCTAAAGAAACATCCCTTTGAAGGAAAGGCAAAGACGGTATCAGCAAACATAAAAAGGGCTTATTACGTCTGTCATTTCCATAAAATTTGGGTTTTGGAAGTACCGCAGGATGTGTTTATTACATTTTCACCACAATAATAAGCCCCAAAGTTTCCAGTTGCTATAGTCAGCCAGAACTGGGGGAAAAAAACATCAGAGAGAAAATTTTTATGGGATTAATAACTTTCAAGGTTACTTAATTCAACTGATAATCTAAATGCAAACAGGTTAATGAAAATTTTAAAATGCTTGGTTTTTGGAGGTTGATGTGTTGTTAAATCATGCTTTGTTGATATTAGCAGTCAGTTTGACCCTACATTAGTATAGCAAACACAGATTTCTGCATGTTGCACACAGTGATTGTGGTGATTCAAATTCAAATGTTTTTTAATTTGATTTCTGCGGGGGAGGAGAGGGGAGAGGGTTTGGTAACAAGGGCCAGATTAGGGTGTGGACTGGCTTCAAGGTAGAAAAGGGGCGAGGTTTAACCCTGTTGCTGCATCGCCATTGGTGGACATGGGGGACAAAAATGCCTGTACCTGACGCAGGTAAACAGACTGACATCAGGCACAGCAGGGGCTGATCGGCTGGCGGGATTTACTGCTATCCTTCGACTTCATTTAACCGACCATTCAGGACAAGTTGGCAGATTTTTTTATGTATGGCTTTTGTACAGGTTTGTGTTGTATGCCTTGTGTAACTACAGACAAAAAAACCCAGCGAAAGTAAGAATATGAAGGTCTATTTTTTTGTTAAAAGTCAGGAACTGGTGCTTTGTTGTGTTATTTTTTTCCTGAGAGCTTGTGCATTTTGCACATCTTGCCTTGTCAAGCAGGTGAGTTGCAGTTTGAGGCTGAACACATGACGACAATGTACATCTATCAGCAATTGCAAGTTAAATTTTAGCTGCAGAATTTACACTTGGATGGGGAAATGTGAGAGCTAAAGGGAATTGGTGACTTGAGAGTAAGGCACTAATAGAGGGTTACATTTGTGTGGGTTTGGTCTCTACATGTTTAACAGCACCCTGCATTCATTGGGCTCAAAAGACTCTCGAAGGATGGAAAACAGCGAAAACAGGTCCTGTCTTGTGCAGGGAGAGGCCTGCCTGGCACACCCTACATACACACACACACAGACACACACACACACACACACACATAGAAAGAGACATGAACATACACACAAATGGAACCTGTTTGTCATGTATTTGTTCCTTTTAACTAATCTGCCACTTCTTATCGACAGAAAAAGAAAGAATGACATCATCTGAGGCGTTGAAGGGAATCGGCCGTGTCAACTATTTCATTCCCAGTGATTCCTCACCGGAGGCGCCAGCACGCTCGCTGCTCTAATGAAACCATCCATGTATTCTATCCTTCATTCCACCGGAGTCTGTGTAAAGTGCCAATCAGATTTCAGTGGTTTGAAGAATAAGACGCATGGAATTTGTCATCTGGAGAGAAGCTTTCAAAAAGAAATCTACTCACATTATGGAGGGTTTTATTGGTTGAAACTTTAACAATAAAAAGTGAATATTGCTCTTTGACAAAAGATCAACCGTATTGTATATCCTTTGATGTCAACCTGAATGCCACAGTTCTGCACAAGCACAGAAAGAGGACTTCTCCTCCTCCGCACCTGCATTGCGACAGCAGTTGAAAAGCGCTGCACTGATTGCACTTTAGAGTTATTGCAGGATCACAGGGCGCTGGCAGTCCACTTTATGTCTTTTGGACTGTCACTCACAGAGGTTGTTATGTCCTCACCCTGTCTTTCTGTCCTTGCTTCTCCCAAGACATGGCAATTACATAATGACTCCTAAATTCCCACATTGCCACTTCCACAGCAAACTCTTCAGGGCGTGTGCCAAGTCGTAGCTTTGAGTCTTTACGGTCTCCTCCTCTTACAACTGCACCCGAAGAACTAAGACATACATTGTGAGCATTGTATTGAGTAATTCAGTATTAGAGTAATGAACATCTTTTTCATCTTTTCTTTTTTTCCCTAAAGAATATAGTTTTTCCATCAGGTATTAAACCAGTTCTCTGTGGGACAATTAACCTGCCTCATTAGCACAGGACATTTCCCAGATTCTATTCAAAGCCTTAATTATAGTTAAATGGGCAGCTGGAAGTCATTTGACAGCTACTGAGTCACCCGGCTATAATTCTTCCATCCAATTAAGATAGAGAGAGCATAATGAATAAACAAACAAAGCAACATAGTGCCAGATCAGCAGAGAGTCATAGAGAACTGTACCGAGTAACAAGGTCATTATGACAGTTTTCTTCCTTAATTATAGACAGAGAGTCTATAGGGTCCCCTTACCCTCATGTACAGCATCTCATCCAGAGCTACAGGTGATAAAACCCTCATGACTTATATCTGAAAAGTCCCTAAAAAACAGATATTTCAATAAATATTAGAAAAATCACAATTATTATGAATTCACAACCAAAAATACCACTACAGAAGAAAGACGAGTCTCTCCTTTAGTTCCCATTGCACAACACAATTTATCACATCTATGAAAAGATGGACTGACCCACACATGACCCAGACTTTTCAGTCCACATCATCTTGGCTTCCTGTGCTGCTCTGTGAGTATCAGTATCAGTCCCCCGCAGCAGGCCTCACATTGTAGAAAGACTTGTCGCTTTCTCCTGAATAGGCTTCTCCTGCACTGCACACTTCAGCCTTTCTTTCACCTTCCTGTTAGACGCAATGATGACCACTGGGCTTAGTGCCGCATATAGCGAGGAGAAGAATATACGCAGGTCAGAGATCAGCGAGGAGCTCATAGTCTTCTTCACAGTGAGAGTGTACACCCAAAGCCCATTATCTACCCCATAGAGGACCACATATAAGGTCACAAGTGCTACCACAGCTTTGGCAGCTCGTTGCTCGGCCCCACCACTCCCCCTACCGCCGCCACTACTGCTGCGGAGCCCCTTCACATGCTGGCTGTGCTTGTAAAGGAAGACCAAGATGATCAGGCTGGCTAGAGTCATGAGGGCCATGGGCACCACGTCTCTCCCCACCTGAGCTGCCCCGTTTGCTTCTATGGACAACTTTGAAGGAAAGTTAACGTAGCAGAATTGTACATTGATGCCATGGTTTAATAGGCTGGAGTCATTCTGGGTTCCAAAGGAGAAGAGTATGGCTGCTGAGCTCATGCAGGTGTTGAGGATCCAGAGGAAGAGGAACACAAAGCCCAAATACTGGGCTACCACGGTGCGTGCAGAGGCCCAGCGTGATCCTGGAGGGGCAATGCTCAGGCACTGGTAGGCACTCAGGACGAAGGTGAGCCAGATTGAGAGGGAACGGGATGTTCTGTAGACAAAGATCACAGCCTTACAGCCTAAGTCTCCAAAGATGTTGGCGAGGCGGAAGGAGGCCAGGGTCTCCAGCAGACAGCGAACACCCACCACCATCAGGTTGGCACAGGCCAGGTGCAAGACAATGGCATCAGCTGGCAGGAGCCGGTTCTCCTGGTATAGCAAGAGGAGGAAGGCCAGGATGACAGCAGCATTACCCGGGACTCCCACAACAGTGAGGGACACATAGAGCATCCCACGGATAAACTCCACTGACATCATTCCTGCAGGGATACAAGGAAGTACAAAGCAACTTTAACCAATTAAAAAATAACAGCCATTGTTTGTAATGTCTTTCTGAATGTTGAGTAATATGTAGCCTTCAAAGTGAAGTGTAAACCCCTACCTGAGAATAACTCGAAGCAAAGTAGGTCTTACGTGGACCTTGTCCCTGATCCCTCTCTCCTAAAGTAGTCAGGTTGTTTGTGTTCTTATACTTGCAAACAGGTAGCGGTGGTTGGATCTGTTTTTCATGGTCGATTGACTTCTCTTCCCTCAGCCTCCAATTACTTGACATCAATTCAGATGACTGCTTCTGTCCCCTCACTGGATTTCAGACCGACAGGATAACACAGAAAAAGCTGTGTTTGGATTAATTTGCAGGGTACAAAGGGGACAATCAGTGGACAGAGAAAATGGCGTTAATGAGGAGATAATATCTATTAGCCTCATGTTTATACTCAAAAAAGATTAAAACGATTTCTCAGTGTCACTGTTTTACTGAGTGGAGGCTACTGAATACTTTTTCTAATTACTGATCCTATATTTAGATTTCCTTATAAGACCCTTCACTTTACTTTTTGTATTTTTAATCTGTGCAATCAATTTTAAAAGCCGCTACCTATTAAAGAGACCTTTCTTGTGCTGGTTAGTCAAATACAAACACCACAGTGTCCTCCAGTGGAGAAAGTTGAAACAAAGTAACAGCCAGAGGACGTTCCACTCATGATAGATTACCCACAGTTTCACTCGTGACATAGCATCCAATTTATGATTGTGTAATTCATTCGAAGCAATAAAAGTTCTAAAAATTGAATTAAACCTAAACTGCGAGGATGTTGTAAGGGCAAATCAGTGCGGGTGGGCTGCATGATTTAACTGCAACATCTCCCACAGCAGGGACTAGGTAATGAATATTAAGCCCAAGTACACGATGAGACATGTCCTCCCCTGAAAGACAAAATACTACAATATGACCATAAATGAGATGAGTTACATGTAAAATAACCTCATTGCATTATTATTGTGAACATCATTTTAGAGGTTTTCAGGCTTGATTGTGCTGAGTTGGTGTTTTAATGGACTTTCATCAAGGGGCTTTTCAAATCATTGTAATTACTAGTTACTTTACAAATGAGGATTTTACATATAAAACATAATCATTCTGTAAGATAGTTTGTACCAAATATTATATAAAGCATTTAGAATTAGCTTCACCTTAACTAACTGCAACAATAAAAGGATACTAACACATTAGGAACAATAATCCAATTATATGATATATACAGTTATAGTGTAACACTCACAGGAGCAAAGGAGTACTTTTGCGTTCATTTTCCTAATATTACTTACATACTTTAACTTAAATAACATTTTTAATGCAGGACTTGCACGTAGTGGTGTAATTTAACAGTGTGATATTGCTAGTTAGACTCAAGGATCCAACTTCTTTCTCCACCACTGTACTTCACATTTAACTTTATTGTCCTCAAGTGAAATTTGTCCTACAGTCAGGTGAAACATAGATCACACACAGACTCTAAGGTACGTGTAACACAAGAAAACATATGATATGAATCAAATGAAATGAGAAAACAGAGAGAAAACTGCAGACAGACTTGAACTGATGAATAATCTCTGTAGATTTAGTGTGATAGGCAAAGGCACTCGGACTGTGGAATGAAATAACATTAAAGCTCAATTTGTGTTTTCGACTGATTATGCATGATTGAGTTATTTTACTTGTATGTTAGAAAGATATTAGAAAGGACAGAAAGCGTGTATACTGTAGATATAGAGTCAAATAAAATATAAGGTCACAGGAGGTCAATATTGCTCCCCTCCCCTTAAATGCAAATAGAGTCTAAGGCCCATCAATATCAGTCAGGAGACTGCTAAGCCAAAAGCCTCTTAAACCACATTTTTGCTGTGGGACAGATTATCTTGCGCAGTGTGGGGTGCGCTGAATATTCCCTCCTCACCAACCAAAGCTGTTGCCCTCACCAGCATGCTTAAAGGTGCAAAAGGTTAAAAAAAAAGTTACATATCTCTGAAACTAACTTCAGTTGTATAAAAACAACAAACTCAAACACTTGACTTAATTGAATACAGCACATAATGATGCTTAATAGATGCTGAACACTAAACCATGTTGTATTAAACAGCTGCAGTATGTCTTTTAACATACATTCAAAACCATTAACTGATATCGTTTTATCCATAAAGGAATTCCTTAATAAGAAATACAATATATAAGTATATTATTGCATGTACAGGGGAAAAAAATGATTTAAAAAACTGGCTATATATATATATATATATATATATATGTATATATATGTACACTTCCTCTCTATGGATATTATTGTAATGCAATTAGTTGATGTAAAATTAAGACTGAATTAGTGTAATGGGGGAAATTATTTACATCATCCATAAACAAAAAGAAATCACATCTCTTGTCAGGGGGGAAACAAGCCTGGATTTTTAAACTTGCAATGCAGCGTACTGTACATGAAGCAGTCCCCCTGAGAAGGACATGCTTGAACTTGCCATTTTAATTAGCTTTCTGAACATGTAAACATGTAAAAAAAAAAACACACAGGGAAATAACACATCTGATGGTGCTTTATTCTAAAGGCCACTCCCGGGAGAAAACACGCTTCTCAAACAACAGTTTCAGCTCACAGATCCCGTCTGAATTTTGCAACTGAGAAAACAGTCACATAGAACGGAGCGTTTTTAATGTAAGACGCATTTGCCATTCAAAGCTTATGTGGATACTGCTGTAAAGTGAATAAAAAACTTCTGTTGTAGCAAGTGCAGAGAGTTAAGAACATAAATGAATAATGGCTGATTGTCCCCATGCCCCCAATTAGTACAAATACGCATTGTTATACGGCTAATTGTCTCGCTCCTCTGTGTCTTTTAACATGCTCCCAGGACATGAAGGAGGAAAAGAACGCGAGTTGAAGCACCAGCTGTGCATGTAAAAGCCTCTTGATGGCTCATTCAAAGCATCATCAGGCTGCTTTTGCATCAACAATAAGTGCACACTGTTGTCTCCGCAGGGATTGCTTGACTCTGTTTTTTTTTAACTCCACAGGGAAATAGCATTACAGTATCTCAGAGGACTGATGTACAGTCTTTCTGTCTATAAAAATTGACAACTGTCGGAGTACAGGAGAATGTGACTCAAGTTTAGAGTTCACATGAGATTTCACATATGTTATTCAAATGGCCTCAGGCAGTTCAGTTACTTTTTATGATGATGAACAATTTCCCAACATTAAAGCCTAAAACTTATCTGGAATACCGTGTTGATGTTCAGCCTGGAGCACTTTCATTCATATTAAAAAAGGAGGGTGATTTACAGACTCATACCACATTTCGTTAAAGTTTGATATCGTGCTTGTGGTTCTGTAACTGTCTCCAAAACCTGAAAATGTACTCCAGCAGAACTGGAATTCACAATAAATAACACATGATTAGGATGTCACATTAAAACTTATAGGATAGATTCACAAGAAAAACAAGTCCGTCTTAAAGCGACACTCACACTCTCATATAAACGCTGAAACCGGTTTTGCTTGCTATAATCATCCATCCTGTTCATACTTGCCACTAGAAGATCCCATAATGTGTTTCCAATCGACGTGAGGAAGGACGTATCCACAGTCTCTGTTCTGTGGAAAAATACAATTTCCAAAGTATCTAAAATGAATGTGATGCTAGACAAATCAAGAGGGTATCTTCTAGACTTTTAGCACTAAATTCCCTCTTTGAGTTACTATCTCTCGGCTGCAGCACAGCAAGGAAACACAAAGAGGTTGAAAAAGACTGAGCCTCATTTAACTTCACATAAACGAGAGCTTGTCTTCTATCACTTCCATTATAAGAATGGCAGGAATAGATCTTACAGCCAGTATGATCAGGACGAATGATTACAGCAGGCAAAACGTGTCAAAATGGGCACCTGACTTTTGTTTTAAGAAGTACTTGAAACATTGTGTGTATCTTTCAGTGGAACTATATTCCCTTTGCAGTGTTTGCCCTCCGAGACCATCTGAGTCAGATTTAGTTTGTGGCTTTAATTTGCCAAACTGTGGGTTGAACACAATGTTGGCAAATGATCTCGAGGGGCATCAAAGGCTATAAATTGTAATTACACAGGCTATTAAGCTTTACTACTTTTAATCTGCAACTTCAGGTGAGCATTGTTTTCACTGAAAGAAAGAGATGACACAATTAAATTCAGGCTGTATTATGTTTCTATCACGCTTGATGAGGGTATTTTCTTGTGTGCAGTGTATTCATAACCGATTTGATTCTCTGTCTGCTTTTCAAATCATGCCGGGTGCAGGCCTTGGTGTCATGGATCTGTGTGTGACCATCAAAGGGGTCTCCTTCCTCTTGCAAACAGGTATGGGCATCTTGGGGAACACCGTGGTGCTGCTGGCGTACGCCCACATGATTTGCACCGAACCCAAGCTCCTTCCTGTGGACATGATCCTGTGTCATCTGGCCTTTGCCAACCTGATGCTCCTGCTGACCCGCTGCGTCCCCCAGACTATGACTGTGTTTGGGCTGAGGGACCTGCTGAATGATCCTGGGTGTAAGGTAGTGATCTACGCCTACCGGATCGGCCGGGCTTTATCAGTCTGCCTAACCTGCATGCTCAGTGTGTTTCAGGCAGTGACCATCGCCCCCGCGGGCCCCCGTTTGTCCAGGTTGAAGCCTGCACTTCCCTCCCTGGTCCTCCCCACCTTTGCAGGACTATGGCTTCTCAATATGGCCATATGCATCGCAGCCCCTTTCTTCTCTATGGCTCCACGAAATGGCACCATCCCTGCCTTTACACTCAATCTGGGCTTCTGTCATGTGGACTTCAGAGACAACCTGTCCTACGTGATCAATGGGGTGGCTGTCTCTGGGAGGGATTTTGCCTTCGTCGCTCTGATGTTGGGCTCGAGTGGTTACATTCTGCTGCTCCTCCACCGCCACAGTCGCCGGGTGAGAGGGATCCGTCGCTCTCAGGGCGGCGGGGCAGAAACCAGGGCCGCCAAAACAGTTGTCACCTTGGTGGTTCTGTACGTGGTCTTCTTCGGGATTGATAACGTGATCTGGATCTACATGCTGACGGTTGCGAAGGTGTCGCCAGTGGTGGCTGATATGAGGGTGTTCTTCTCCTCCTGCTACGCCTCTCTCAGCCCCTACTTTATCATTTCCTCCAACAAGAAGGTCAAGGCGAAGATCGTGTGTGCAGCTGAGCAAGACCAACCGCCAGCAGACAATCAGGAGTCAAGTGACAAATGACTCCATCTCTATCTTGACAGGCTGTCGACTATCCTGCAAGACAGCAGGAGTTGTACTCTCAGACCTTATCATTTTGAACAATGGTGCACAGATAACTGTCATTTAGCTAAACAATGGACCTTTTAGAAAGTAGTTCTAGACAGTAGAGTCTTACAATAGTGTTCTTGGGTTTCCTCTTTCATGTATATTTCCGTCAAAATCATAAATGAATACCTGTATCTGCCATTTAGCTTGTGGTCATTATGTATGGCAGGAAATGAAACACATAAGCTGCATCATTGCTGAAACAATTAGTCAATCAGTAAATTCATCTGCATCAATTTTGAGAGTTTATTTTGTCTCTTTCCAGCTTCCTAATTGTTTTGGGGGGTTTGCTGATTTTCTTGGTATTTTGTGATTGTAAACTGATTATCTTTGGGTTTTGGACTGTTGGTCTTACAAAAGATATTTGAAAATATCTATTGTCACCACGAAGGACACCAAGGTCATGTCTTCAATATGGTTTTAGGGACTTTGGAGGTTTTATTTTACTGAGAAGGAGTTATTTATTTATTTATTTACAGTTATTTAAACGTAGTTCAGATATTTCTTGTGTGTGTCAGAAACCATGAATTGGTTGAGTGTTAAAGGTCAGAAATATACATCGAAATAATGACATTTGGCATTGTGGGAAAGGCTTTTTAAACTGTTTTCAGACCTAACCAGAGATATATGTTTAAAAAAATGTTAAATTTATATTGAAACGTATTTATTAAAGTATTTATTTTGTGAGCTAATCATAGATTTTGGGGGGTTGTAGTATTTCTAAAATCTTGGCTATAGTCCTGAATTTGAAGATGTCATATTGGGCTTTAAATTAACAATTAATTGAGTAAATAGTCAGAATAATCAATAATGAAAACAATTAACTGCAGCCTTATTAATTAGCCTTACATCGTCACATGACTAATCTACTCCTCGCGCTCTCTTGCTGCGCTCTGATTGGCTGAAGTGTTAGGAATAACTTCAGGGAAAAATAAATGGGTATTTTTTTATCCGTAGATTTGCCTCTCAGGCATCACTGTACCTCTACTAGTGTGGAAAGCTTAATCGGTAACATGTTTATGTCACAATGTAGAGCACAAATAGTTGATTTAAGGCTCAAAGCGATTGTAGCTGTTAATTATCTGTCAATCTTACAGACGGAACAGGAGTCTCGACCTTGCCTGTGGCGGCGCAAGCTCCGCCTGACAGACCGCGTACAGGGACGAAAAAAACCCCAAATTTAGCACAACAAATCCCGGAAAAGGGAAGCGGAAGACTGAGCCAAAAATGTTGAACGAGAGTGAAGTTAGCAAAGTACATAACAGCTGAAATATACCTGTGGGTGTGTAAACATACAGCTCTGCGGAAATCAGTCTACAAATGTAAACCTTTACGAGTCATTAATCGCGTCGAGAAAGTGTCCGTTGACGAGCAGCTAACGTGTGATTAGCTCAGTTTTGACAACAAGATGCTGCAACGCCCCTGAAACTGGTGCCAAAGTATTTTAATGAGCAGTTTTTTTGGGGGGGGGGGATGGTTACTAAAGGTGTTCCCCAGTTTGTGCTGTTTAATCTCAGGTGAGTTTTAAATTTGGCTTTTCTTACTCAACTGGCAGCAGGTTGTGAGCTAACGTTCAACCGTTAACGGACGGTTGCTCCGTAACTGATGTCATCTTTAAACAGTTTAAAAAAAGAGCTAACTTTATATTTAGTTTTGCTTTTTGGTTGGTTTTGTTCGTCACTGTGTTGGTTTTTATACCCGGTTCGGTGTCTCTTCTCTTCATGTTTATTTTAGTGAACAAATCTGGATTTCTGCCCAGTCCTCTCTGTTTCCTGAGCTCTTTGTGAAATGACCTGACTTCACTGGTTCCAGCATCTGATCACAATGGCCAGAATAGCCTGGTATCAAGAGAAGGTGAGACAAATACATGTTGTTTGGTAAATAGGTTGTCCTATTTTTGTTTTTATCCAACAACAACAACAACAACAACAACAAAAAAAGACACTGGGACAAGAAAGGAGCTAAACATTTAACATTATGGATGTGTGATTTGGGGGGATTGATGTTTTCCAAGTGATGTGTGGGGACTAAGATTACGTTTAATTAAAAGATTAGGGTTGTACAATTTCAAGATGCATTTGTTTTGATAAAAGGTAAAATATGTGACAGAACAGCGTTATAATGAAGTACTGTAGTGCTGCAGAGATAACCCCGTCTTATAAAATCTTCAGATGTAAGAAAATATGTTTGTTTGTTTGTTTGGTACAGACTCCAACAAATGTCACATCATTATGATTTTAATCTTTATATATATATATATAGTAGTGGTGTTAATTCCCACTGACGCTGAATAATATCACCGACACTGAGATTTATTCATTTATTTAATCCGTGGACGCTGCTCATTGATCAACCAAAACCTGTATTTTAGTCAATACATGTCCCCTTTTCCTTCCTATTTCTTCTTTGTCTTTCCTGGTTTTGTGTGAATGTGTACAAACCAAAAAAAAAAAAAGATTGTCATTTTATGAGCCCAGCAGCATTTAATCTGATTTGGATGAAGTACCAATAAAATCTGATGCCAGGCTGTTAAAGTCTTGTGTTGCTATGTCTGAAAAGCACTACAGCATTATTTGTTGTTGAACTAGTCCCACTTTTTACCTTTTTAAATGTTATTTACAATAAATTATCTATTTTGAAATGTCTGTTTTATATTCATCATTATCATATATACATGGCTCTTATTGTACTTTATAATTTTAAATGCTTTCATTTGTATTATCCAGTTTATTTGAGACTGTTTTTACAACAATGTACCTTGTTGTATTTATTAAGATTATGAATATGGACAACCTCAATTTGATTAAGGATGTAAATCTTTAGTAAATAGTCCCTAATTTGAAGGAAAACGATTATAAAACTTCTGTTGTTGCTACAGATTGGGGCCTATGATCAACAAGTCTGGGAGAAATCTCTGGAGCAGGCGGATCTAAATGTAAGATACCCTTCAAATCTCTGTGAAGACATAAATGCTATTTAAAATAATAAATGCTTGTCTATTTATGTTGTGCATCACCTCTCAATCAAAAACATCACTCGCCTTTCATCTAGGGTCTGGACAGCAAACCAAAGAAGACGGGTCACATCAAATCAGACCTCATCGATGTCGACTTAGTAAGAGGTGAGGGTCAATGAAGAGTAGTTCTCCGCTGGTTGTTAGTTCCTTTAATAACAGACACATTTACAACATCTGCATACACACAGCCTCCTCCCCCGTTAGCACATATCACACCAGCCTATTTCCTGCCTGTGTTCTGCTAGTTTCACAGTTTCTTTGCATTTGTAATGGTTTCATTTAAGCCACAAGAGAGACTTTCTGATTTCCTTCCCTCAGGATCGACATTCAGCAAAGCCAAACCAGAGAGTCCCTGGACAGCTTTGACTCGGAAAGGTCTGGTCAGAGTGCTGCTGTTCCCGTTCTTCTTCCATTGGTGGATCCAGGTGACCTCCAGATCCATTTCCTCATGTATCCTCGTGCTGTACTTCTTGCAAGGTTAGCTCACCATTTCTAATCTAACTTCTGTTCGTACTGATACTGAAAACAAATTAATTAAAACATGTACATAATGACTAGAACCAGGATGTATGTAACAGCCTACACATTGTAAACTGACTCATACTGTGCTGTCTTGACATTATTTATATTCACAAAACATTTCAGTTCTTGCTAAAAAAATATCAATAAAATGTCACTTGGGAGAGAGTTTTGGGAGAATAGTGATCTGTTCATGAGGCTCTTCTATTTTAACATTAGCAATCATTCATGTGCTCCACAGAGAGTATATAGAGCTGTAATAAACACGACATGCACTTTGAGTAATGGTTTTAAAACTAACTTATAAAGTATAAAGATAATCTGCACATTTTCATACACTGTGGCTCCTGTTTGTAAGACTTTTATTGCAACAGTGACATTTTGAGTCGTTCTTCAATTAAAACACGACTGCTGGTGCTGTAAAAATCCTTCAGGCGGGTGCTATAAAGGGTTTTGGATTTTCTTTTTTTACTTTGCTTAACCATGGAAACAAACACTCAGTCATTAAAGAATATAAATACAGTGCATTGTTTCTGATATGTACTGAATTCAGTATCTCTGTTTGTCACAGTTTACATTCAGTTATGCGCAACAATAAACCTGTGACTCATCACACCTGCACAACACAGAAAGACCTCATTAGTAAGCATGAATTTTGTTATAATGGCTCCCCTAAGAGACCGTTTTGTTTGCTGTTGCCAAATGTTTTGCTCCCCTCAGTGGCGGCAGTGGCGCTGTACTTGGAGGTCCCTGGGGCGTGTGCCAGCGAGGTGTTTGGGCCCATGTGTCTGCTGCTGCTGCTGGGTACCGTGCACTGCCAGATTGTGTCAACTGAGTCCAGCCGGTGGCCCTCGGGCAGTCCAGCTGCCAGCTGTGCCACCAGCCCTGCGCGCAGAAGGAGGTAGTTTTCTCATTGTCAGGCACTGCACTCATTTGCCTTTACCAACACACTCTCACCTCCTGGTGCATGCATAAACTCCCACATTATGATCACAAATAGACTTTTAATGAACCGAAAGTTATTCTATGCACTAAAGGCTTTCTGGTGTACTCTCAATAATTCTCCCACTCCTGTGGTTTCAGCTTGTTTTGCAATGGCTGCTTGCAACTACAATCTCTTGTTGATGACTGTTATTTTCTTCCTCCAGGCCAAGGAAGGGCAGAGGGCTGAAAAAATCTGAAGAAACAAATGACAGCGCGGACACAGAGCAGCTTGATGAAAGCCAGCGATTATACAGGAGCGAAGAGAGGAGGGTACAGTACCTCATCTCACTTGTCAATCTCAGTATTGTGGTGTGAAGAGAAGAAGGAACTAACTTATGTCAGCAGTGAAAATTTATTTTTGTAAATGAAAAAACAACAGTCAATAAATACAGGTTAGTAGTTAGATTAAAACTCTAGATCTACAGCTGAAATATAAGCATTCATTGGCTAATGTTGATATGTAGCTGATCTGTAATATCTTCAAAGGTTTCAGTTTGTTTGCTATTCAGCACACACATGGCATCAATACAGTAAAGCTAAAGATAAAAGCCTGTATCTTTTAATACGACCGCTGAACCTCATCAACTGTGATGACAGAGTATGATAAATATTAGAACCTTTGTTATTGTTACTCTAAGGCTAATTGTTTTAGAGTTCATTAGATTGTTAGATGGTTATTTTGTTAATTTCCTGTAGTACAGAATCGTATTCAAAGCTGCCTTAAGGTCTTTAATTCTACTCTAACTGCCGTCTAGCTCTACTGGCCAAGTGTGTAAAGTATATTTGTATACATTTGTTTTCATCTTTTATGCTTTATATCACACTATAGTAGTATAGGCTTTTTTTCCACTCTTTTCAACTACTTGCATGTTTTGAAATACATTTTTAGGCTGTATGTGTGTTTTCTGTCATATTCTTTAACAGAAAAAAAGAAAGTCAGGATTTGGGGCGTCCGACGAGCTCTCCAGTGAGGAAGAGGAGGGGCTACAACCAGTGGAAGTAATTCTTCCAATACCTCACCAAGAGAGGCTTCTTCCTACAACCAGGCCTTCATCTGCACCAGTGTCTTCTGTTAGGAAGAGAAATCTAAAGTCTAACCCCAAACCCACATTAAGACCTCAGGTAAACCTTATTCTTACACTGCCTGTTAATGAAAATGTTTTTTAATATAGAACAAACATTTAAATGTCGAAGAGATTAAAGTATAATAAAATTGGAGTTAGATGTGAGCTACTTAAATTGTGTGTTTCTAATATAGAGCAAGCATTAAGGAACCCCTCCAGACATATATTATGACATATACAAATAGCATACCTGGAACAATAATGTGTCCGATATGTGTTTTCTGCAAAAAGAAAGTATCATTTCCGTATAAAATCATTAAAAGAGCCTTTACTCCCTCTACCTCGTGAGAAATCTAATTTCTTAAGTTATACAGCTCAACACCAAATGTCTCCAACTTCACTGTAAAGCCCATTCTCAGTGTATGTGCACTGGTAGTGAAGCTCAAACATTCTGTATGGACAAGAAAGAAAGAAAGAAAGAAAGAAAGAAAGAAAGAAATTTTTAAGTGGAGGGGGACTTTAAAGATTCAGTCCAGTTCAGGATGATTGAAACGACTCTTTATAAACTGAAAACAGGAAGGGGTTGGGGCTTCCATCAAGGTGAAGCCTCGCGAGGTGGAGCGCCTCAGGCCGAACGTCGGCTCTCGTCCTGCTTCCGACACTGACGACACAATGTGGGAGGAGCTTCTCCAAGGCCCTGACTCCGCCTCCACGGCGAGCAGTGACAGTGAGGGGAACGGGAGGTACAACGCTGGCATGGTGCTCCCACAAGCCACCACTCTGAGCAGTGATGATGAGAGCCTACAGCAGGGAATCACTGGAGTAAGATCTCCAATACTCTTAAATACTCTTGTTTGAGTCAACCTGTAATATTATTCATGGTTGTCAAACACTCCTTAGTGGATACATGGTATGAAATCATTAGCAATCCCAGTTAGTCAAAATCCCATGGTGGACTTCATGTAGACTGTGATATGTTCATAACCATCTCCTACAATTTGAATTTAGCTTAACTCCACGCTGCATTTACACGTTGGAAACCAGCAGTAAACTGGATGTTATTTATTGTGTTTCCTTTCAGAACCAGCTGTCATGGCTGCAGGCATGTCACCCATCCAAAGACCGTGTGAGTGCCATAATATGGGAGCAGGGCGAGTGTAAGAAAGCAGACATGTCAGTATTGGAGATCAGTGGGATCATCCTCACACGGGTACGCATTATCCCCTTTATGTTGTTATTAATTCTGTTGGTAAAGATTGCTCAGACAACCCCTAAACAGCTTGTAACAGAATAATACAGCAGTTTGAAGCAAAACGGACTATCTGCTTCGTTTTCTAGTTTGTCTACCACACAGTCACATCTGTAGCACTAAAATGCTGCTTTTAAGAAAATATTTTAATTATTAGTAGTCATCTTCAGTAATGAAATAAAACATTAATTAACATTAATTAACATTTTATATGATTATCAAGAATGCAGAATGTAATATTCTCTCTCTGTTGAACATTTAGTTGTCAGACATACATAATCACCTCTTGATATTAGAAAAAAATCTTACACAGGCTGTGTTCATATAACACAGCTATGTTCCTTGAGTTGTCCTTTATCAGCGTCTCCTGTCTCTCTCTCTCTCTCTCTCTCTTTTTGCGCTCATGTTTCTTGTTCTCAGGTGAAGTTGGTGGAGCAGGGTATGGGTTACCTTATGCTTGGTGGACTGATGACAGCTACCCTGGCGCTGCTTCCCTTCGTTTTCCGCTTGGCTCAGCGTTTGGACATGTCGAGCCTCTGCTCACTGTCCCTGGCAGAGGTGGTAGAGATGGCAGTGGGGCCGCCTGATGTCCAGGCTTACGCCTTTTTCTTCATCACAACAGTGCAAAGAGTCTGCCTCATAGGACTGTTTTTCTTCATGATGTGTGTGGCCGAGAGAACGTACAAACAGGTGAGCGCTGACAGTTATGTCTTTCTGCTATGGCATGTGTAGTAAAGTAGTACCAACAATAATCTGCTGCTGTACATTTAAACAGCTTCCAATTTAACCCACTGAACCTGATTGAAAATCGCATTCCTTCATCTCAGAGTTATAACTTAGATTTACACTTTCCATGGATATAAAAATTAAATCAAAAATCTATAAATCCAGTCAGAAAGAGAAAAGAATATGCTCCTTATAACTAATAAGTATTCCTGTGATAGCTTTCTGAACTCTATGTTACAGTGCAAACAGGAACTGCTAATAGCTCATTTGACTTTTCGTGGTCCATATTAGCACAATGTAAAGAAATACAAGCTATAAAACAGAGCTGAAGGTGTAACCTAAAGCTAGAAATCATATTGATAGTGCAAAGAACATTATAACCTCAAATAGAAAGAAGAAGTAGGAGTCACAAAATCTATCAATTTGATCTTTTTCCCCAGACTCCCCAGACTCTATTAATTCATATACAGTTATTGCCCTGTCTTGAAAATCTGTGGACATACTGGTAAAACACTCAAACAACTTGTTCTGAAAAATAACAATATATAGTATGGCATGTTGTGTTAGCTGTCTTCCCTCTAGTGGCAGTTAAGAGGTGGCATCTACAAGACAGCACACTGAAACAGAACTCACCCACTAGACTCTTTGCAGGGCTGTTAACTTTTGTCAAGTGCTTTGCATCTCTGACAGTGTTTGTCCATGTTTCTCCCCAACAGAGGCTCTTGTTTGCCAAATACTTCAGCCACCTCACTTCAGCTCGCAAGGCCAAGAAATCTGAGATCCCTCATTTCAGGCTGAAGAAAGTCCAGAACATAAAGATGTGGTTGTCACTACGCTCTTTTCTCAGGGTCTGTATACTCTTGCTTTAACACTCCCCTGCTTTTATAACTGTATATTGTTTCTCCACTGGAAAGGTTTGCCTTTGTTTGTAATAGTGCTTCATTGATTTGCTTGTTCATTGCAGAGACGAGGGCCGCAGCGCTCAGTTGACGTCATTGTCTCCACTATCTTCCTGTTAGCGCTGTCTATTTCATTCATCATTTGTGCCCAGGTCAGTCATATCCGCTGCAAAAGATCTGATCGGCTTAGAGAGCTCAAATTTAATAACCTTGTTCAAATAGTGTGAGTCTTGCATGGAGATGAAATAACGGGAAGGCAGCCACGAAACATGTAAGAATGTAATCATATATCGAGTGAAGATACGCCTCGAAGTTAAGATACATCATATTTTATAAGCTCTGCTTGATTAAGAGAAATTCTAATTTTCACAACAACAAGGAGTATAAATACGGTTGCTTCTGTCCTCAGCTTTTGCACAGTCACGAAACATTCCTAGAGTCTATGACAAATTGGGAGTTGCTGGTGTGGGCCTCCTCCCTCATCCTCTTTCTGTTACGGCTCGCCACGCTGGGTTCAGAGACCAACTGCAAATACAGCAACTCCTCGGTGCTGCTCACTGAGCAGGTAAGAGCCTGTGTCTGCTAAACACACGGAGTTGCAGGTTTCTCACTGGGTTCAGCACTATGGGCAACAACAACATCAGCTGATCTCATAGTCAGCATCGTTTAATGTAAGTTTAAATACATTACTTTGTCTTTATTGTAGAATTTACAGTGTGTAAAACTGTTCTTGGTTACAGATCAATTTGTATCTTAAAATGGAGAAAAAGCCCAATAAGAAAGAGGAACTCAATATCGTGAACAATGTTTTGAAACTAGCTACAAAACTAATGAAGGTAAGAAAAATGTGTCTCCTTTGTTTTACAGCTTCCTATTAATTTACCATACAGAGTATATCCTGTCAGTATAGTTCTTTATTATTGTATAATACAGGCAGAGTTTTTACGATCATATTTTTCCACAGATTCTAAGTTAGTTTATTGTCCCCCTACAGATAGTTTACAGGGTATTTGTCACATTTCAACCATTTAATTGCTTTGGCCCTTTTCTGTCTATCTTCACCTGTCCTTTATCAAAAGACATAAACAGCCCCCCCAAAATATATATATAAAAGAAAGCTGTTTCACAAATATAGTAAATTTTATGCTCAAAAAATTTGTTTTAGGGTTTATGAGGGTATGCTCATAAATTGTTACATGTACTTTATAGTTAATCTGTTGGACATCTACAGACAAAGCAAATGTTACAAATATAAACTATCTGTAGGCAGACTCTCCATATGAAGTGCTACCCAGAAATGTAATGCTTTAAATGCATTTCTAGGAAAATCAACAAAAGCTCTTACAAATCGAAAATACTGGCCAAATATAGCAAATAAACTACTATTAAACGTGCTGCCTCATCAGGTGGCTCTGTGCTTAAGATGCTGACCACGAACTACAGTGTTTAAGTCCTGCTGGGGAGCTTTGTTGTATTCCTCGTTTCCAATAGTCTCTCTACTGGCACCATCTAATGTTGAACAATTTAATCACCTTCTACACTTCAGATTGCCCCATAACATCCCTAATAACTTTAAGAGGTATTAAATACATTTGATTGCACTGCAGTTCATTCTTTTATTTCTCATGAAGGCCCAACAGAACTATTACTACACAAAAACATTCTGGCTTAGACCTTTTCTCTCTCCTCTAGGTATTTGGTATTTCAAGTTTAAATAACATTGTATTCCCTCTTACCTCCCACAGGAGCTGGATACTCCATTCAGACTGCTGGGTCTGACCGTGAACCCTCTGATCTACAACATCACCAGAGTGGTCATCCTGTCTGCAGTGTCTGCTGTGGTCAGCGACCTGTTTGGCTTCAACATCAGAGTGAGGGTCTTTCTTCTAAATGTTAAAAATCACAGCTCCTTGGTTGCTAATGGTGCAAGAAGATCGAACAAAACTTTGCTTTGCTCATCACATAAAGCACTACTCAGCCTGTGAGAGCAGTTGTATTATGTCCTCTGAGGCTTTAGAGTGAGCTTTCTAAAGTTTGAGTTTAGCTTGCGCTTGGACAACAATATGGGGCAGGTGCGTTGTGGGAAATGTAGGATCCAATGATTTTGGTACTTGACTAGGGACTAAAACTCATGTAATCTTGGCTTCAGCTGCTTCAGTTTGGACTAAAATATCTCTCTTGTAAATACCCCAAATTTATGGAATTGCTAAAATAGAACAAGGACATGGCCTTTAAATGCAAATGAAAATTTCCATTTATAGTTTTACACTCATGGCCATCTGGCAGATAAGTTGGCATCATGCAAAAAGTCAAGATGTGACTGACGAAGGGGATGATGTAAAAAGTGTTTTCAAGTGGTCAGCAGGCAGTGCCTTTAATTACAAGAACTGTACACACCATCATAGTGGTCTCAAGGCAGGAAATACGCTGAATAAAGGAATACATTTAAAGGATAAATATGCTTATTTATTTTTTAAAATGTATTTAATATGTATCAGCCCGGAGGCTGTTAGCTTAGCATAAAGACTAAGGGGAATTTACGAGCCTGGTCATCTTCAGAGCTCAAAACTGCCTCTAGCAGCATCTCTGATTAACCATAACTTGTAGTTTATATATACATTTTTACATTTGTGTATGGATGAAACAAAATAGATAAATCATTTTAATCAGTGGTCTTTAGAGCTGTGGGAAGGTGTAATGTTGAACTCTGAAAACTTATGCTAAACTAAGCTGAGCTAATGGCTTCCTGGCTCCATATTTATTGCACAGACATTAGACTGATCTCAATAAAAACTGTCTACAAGAAAGTCTACAACTTTCCCCAATATTGAACTGTTCCTCTAAGGGATGCACCACTGCAGGTGATCCTGCTCTCTGACCTGTTACTGTGTGTGTTTTTTGTTTCATTAGATGTTCTGTGAAATTACTTTTCTTTCTTTAATGAAAGTTTTATCTCTTCTGCTTAATTTCCAGCTGTGGAAAATCAAGTCTTAATGTGAAAACGGCAAACCACTAACAGTCGGACACTGGAGACCAGAATCTCCGTTTGTCTGCTGCAGAGAGACTCTCATCAAAACAAAAAGTGCAAATCTACTGACAGTTTAGTCATGGTCTGTGCCTTCAAACTGAAACTGTCTCTCGAGTTTCATCAGTCATTCACAAGCCTGAGATGCTCTGACAATCGCTCACGCACCATTACTGGCGCCTCAGCTGGTGTGGCAACACACAGTTTCCATCAGCCACGCCACTAACCCAGTGCCTAACCTTTGACCCTTGAATGTTCCTGAGTATGCGGTTAAATATAGCGGTGAGTTGAGATCATTTCAGGCTTCTTGTGTCTTGTACAGATGTGTGGACACAAAGTGAAAATGTAAATGAGTTAAATGCAGATGATAATGTAGATAGTTTGATTAGTCTTATTAATACAATTAACTGTAAAACAAGCATTGTGCTTTCTGAAGCCAGTAAATCAAACTCAATCAAAATTAAATGGGCAATCGGCTGCATTAAATTAATGTTCGGTGGACTCAACTTTCAAACTTTTGTACTATTTAAGGAGGAAACATTGTGATTGTAAGTGGACTTTATTTATTTGGGGTTCTGTTTTAGCGCTTAAACCTGTAATGGTACCTGTAAGTCATGACTCTTTGACCACTATCTGCCTTTTTTGTATTGAGGACCATTGTTGAATAAATAAAAAAATATACATAAAAAAGCTATGCAAAATGCTTAAAGAAAATGTTTAACAGGTGAAATAAATGTTTTTCATCCCTTGGATTGTTGGCATCAGTTTCTGGGTTGGCATGCTGGCTCTCCTCCTCATCCTCTGCAGCTCCCGTATGTTTTGTCCTCAGGACTTACTGTGACACTGGGCTGTGGGTTGACGTTGATCTATTATCAACGTTACGGTAGGAAAGGAAAAAAAAAAAAAAAGATATGACGTAAAGGCACACCTCCAGCTTGGAAGGACACCAGCCGGCCGAGGAGGCACCTCAGCACCAAGGACAGGCCGACCAGACTGGCTCCTCCGGCCGCAGCGGCGGGCGCAGACTCTCGGTCCGGCAGATCGCGAACCATTCCCGCGCTGACGGTGTGCCGGTGTCTCCGGGGGGCTGACAGGACTGATCGTTTGCCTATCGAGCAGGTACAAAATAAATAAATAAATAAATAAAAACAAATGATGATGCTGTTCGGAACGTATGGATTATGTGTAAGGTGGATTATGTTATGAATGTTCATGTCTGATCTTGTGTCGCATGAACTCAGTCACCCCGGTCGGAGAGGAAATCACTGCTCGCTCATATGCGGCTCTGTAAATACAGTTCGTTTAGCCAAGCAGATTTTTTTTTGTTTTCCTTTAAACAGATGATGTGGCAGCGCCTTTTATCTTCATAATTTTTGCTCCTCTGGTTGCATCCTTCTGGATGTTACCAGGGAGACATAAAGCCATATTCATAACATATTTAGAGAAGTTTTCTGTGCAAGATTCTGTTCTATCCTAGATACATGGGAGTAATACATCACACGTGTGTCTGATCCCTCCGTTTCAGACCAGTTTGGACAATGCCCTTCTGAGAGAAAGAGAGAGAGAGAGCTGATTTCAACATGTCAAGCACTCAGATAGACAATGGCTCTGCAAACTCAGCAGAAGCTAAGAAAACAGACCTGAGAATGAATGAGAAGAAATGCTGTAAGTAAAGTCCCAAGTCCCCCCCCCCCCACACACACAATTAGATTTGAACAATGTTCTCTGCATGGCTGCATCAGGAGTCTACAGGTGCACTTGTAACTTAAGACCTTAAGATGTTGTTTGCCCTGGATTGGATTCACAGGTAAGACTCTGCAGCTCCTTCGTTTAGGCTCCAACCTGTAAGAGACAGAAATTAAAAAGGGAATCTCTGTAGGCAAAAAAACTGTGACTCCTTCTGTGGTTTCCGCTGGTCTTCATAAAATTGCATTTTCTCTCCCAGGACATTTTAATAATTTAATTTCCTCAAATCCTACCTCTGATCCCAGGCCACAGATTATATTTGTGTCTAAAGAGACAATTATTTTTGTCCAGTACACGCAGACGACCTAGTTATTAGATTGTCTTAATCCTCAAGGAAAACTTTAGATGCAGTATTTTAACTGGTTGATGGTCATTTATGTTAAAATAAAGCCTAACTTTCCAATACACAGTAAATGTGCATCTATTTTACTTCATTTCCCTGCATTTAAAAGACATTATTTAATACGGTTTCTATTAATGTGCTTGACAAATGTATATCTGTCTCTCCTGTGCAGCATGGGCTTCCTATATGACCAATTCTCCAACAGTGATCGTAATGATCGGCCTGCCTGCAAGAGGAAAGACCTACATGTCAAAGAAACTCACACGTTACCTCAACTGGATTGGAGTCCCAACCAAAGGTAGTACGTGATGTGTGGCAAAAATAGTTCAGTGTCATGTATAAAAATAGTCTGTCAGACTGTCAGTATCTCCTGGCTGCACAAATTCTCACTTTTTATCTTTTTTATTTTGCAGTGTTTAACTTAGGCGTGTACCGCAGAGAGGCTGTCAGAGCTTATAAGTCCTATGATTTCTTCCGCCACGACAATGAGGAGGCCATGAAAATAAGGAAGTAAGTTCCACTTTTACAAATGTGCTCTTCTTTACTCATTACATTCATATATGTAACTTTAAGCTGTAGCATCTCTCCTGTCTGAGTACAACATCTCCCCCAGTCAACATGGGTCTGTTTGGTATTCTGCTGCCTCCACTGCTGCATCAGTGACTAAGCTGTTTTTTTCCAGCTAACAGTCGATACTCGGCTGGGGTCAGCAGTGTTCATACTACCTTAAACTGGCACTGATCTATACTTAATGTGCACCCACAGACACATCACATGACAAAGTATCACCACCAAATTCTCGTGGTTTCTCGTTTGCGTTGAGATTGACAGTGTAAGTCACTGCTGATTCCTCCGAAAATATGAATAAAGAATATAAAGTGTCTCTTTCCCTCATGCTCGTATCCAGTAGCAGCAATTAAAAATTGGGTTTGTGGTTCATGGTTATCATGAAAATGTGACAGGCTGTTGACAGCATCCCAGTGCTGAATTGTGACCTAGATATTAAACAAGCTGCCGCTGTCACTCTGAAGCTCACACAAGCCCTTCAGGGTGTTGCATGGGTATCTAACCTGGGTCAAACAGCAGCTGTAAATAGTTATTTCTGCTATTGGACGAATAAGCTGGGTGGGGTTAAAGGAAATACAGCATTTTGCTTTCTTTCTGGCCAGATTGGTGGAATTTACTGAACAAAACGGCTCTAGATTGTCCGAAATCTAAATTGTTTTGGAAAGTATGCTCACTTGCTCACTTGCTGAGAGTTCAATGAGAGGATTGATAACACTTTCATATCTGTCCTTTAAATATAAGGCTACCGCCAGCAACAATTTTGTGTTGTTCTGTTCAGTAAATCCCACCCATCTGCCGCATAGATAGACCAGATCAACCCAAAAAAATATAGCTTTTCTGCCATAAAGAGTAATTAAATCATGAAAACTGTGCTCAGCAATTCAGTAATGTCTATGTGTCTATCGAGCTTGTAAGGAAGATATTGTTTCTGGAAAAATAAATGACTACTGAGCTTTTTCCAAATATACACTTTTATATTTTTTACTGGGGTTGCAGCAGAGAGGTCTCACAACCTCGTCACATAAAGCCTGAACTGTCTCCATGGTTAGACACCACTAGGGGGAGTTATTTATTTATTTAGTTATTTAGAGATTTGAAATGTCTGTTCTTTTAATCCACATACCATGGATATGTACATAATAAGACATTAATCTTTGTGTAGATCTACCAAGACAAGAGGGTTGGGACTAAAATGGAACAAAAAATAATACTAATATTAGACAAGCACCAAGAATCACTGTCTACATCATACCTACAATAAATTACTTAATGATTTCTGACTTATCAACAAATCATACACAAAACACACGCAATGTACATTTCAGTGGTTGTGTGTTTCATTGAATAAGAGCATAGTGAAGCTCTTACAAAGGGCATGTTTTCTCTCTCTCCCACAGGCAGTGTGCTCTGGTAGCTCTGCAGGATGTGAAGGCGTACCTGACGAAGGAGGGAGGTCAGATCGCAGTGAGTCTTCTCTCCGCCGTTCTGTCCATCGCTCTGTTCCCAAAAGCTTTAAAATATCCAGAACAGAACTACATCTGGCATCAGGACAACCTTAATCCTAAACTGCCCTACAAACATCTTACCATAGAACAGCCACAGTGTGAATAGTGTCTTTACTTTTCCTCCTTTGTGCTTGTTTTATTAGGTGTTTGATGCAACAAACACAACGAGAGAACGGCGAGACCTCATTCTAGCTTTTGTGAAGGAGAATGCATTCAAGGTAAGAACTGGGCTTTAAAGGAAATTGTACTTTGGTATTTAAACATGTACACACACACTGTGCATGGAGCAGTTACCTGGACTTGAAGCGAGGTTATGTAACTCTTGCTGACCAGCGGCCACAAGTGGTTCCAAAGTAATGGCACATCATTGGACCTTCATCTTCTATGATTATTTAGAGTCGTCATCATCATGTGTATCTAGGACGGACATTATTCAGAACTACCATCCTTATACACATATAAAACCAAACTCATTCACGTACTATACTGAAAACCACACACATGCTTATACACAAAATAACACACTTGCATAACACAACTGAAAAGCTCTCATGAAAACTGTTGAAAAGCTTTAATACATACTAGTAAGTGTGCTCATATTCACACTTGAAATGCTCTCATACAGTATTGTGAAAACCTTTTTCATAAACTGCTGAAAAGCTTTCACTCATGCTAATATAATGAATTACACATATATGCGTGGTATTTCTGAATAATGTCCCTAACCCTGGCCCCTCATATGTATCTGTGACACAGAAGCACAAGTGGAAAAGTACTCATTCAGTTCAGCATCTTTTTAGTTTGGAAATGCTCCTAAAGGTTGACCCTCGAAGCTGCCCTCTTTCCAACAGGTGTTCTTTGTGGAGTCGGTGTGCGACGACCCAGAGGTCATTGCTGCTAATATTCTGGTATGATCTTACATTACTGACGTGACTTTAAGGTTTCACTGTGACTTCTGGTCTGGGTCAAACCCGTAATCTATTAATATTCACACTATCTACAGTGTTATGTAAGTATACTACATTGTTTGAATGTGCTGAATACCTGTGACAGGAAGTGAAAGTGTCCAGTCCAGACTACCCTGAGAGACACAGAGAGAGAGTAATGGATGACTTCCTCAAACGGATCGAGTGCTACAAGGTCACGTACCAACCGTTAGACCCTGATGATTACGATAAGTAAGAACAGTTACAGTTGCACTTCAGAGTATTAACACTAGATGGTGGCGGTTAGCAACCATTTGATTACATGATTCGTTGGCACCCTGCAGGGACCTATCTTTTATCAAGGTGATGAACGTGGGCCGGCGTTTTCTGGTGAACCGGGTGCAGGACTACATCCAGAGTAAGATCGTCTACTACCTCATGAACATCCACGTGCACTCTCACTCCATCTACCTGTGTCGGCACGGAGAGAGCAACCACAACGTTGAAGGCCGCATCGGGGGAGACTCGGAACTCTCTCCTCGAGGGAAACAGGTGCGATGGCCCTGGTTCTCCTTTCATAATCCACATTTTATGAACTGCAAAGCCAGTGTGAAAAACCCAATTAGAGGCCTCACACAGAAAGATATCTCAAGGGATAAGGTGTACTCAACTACAATATTATGAACACCTGAGTTATGATCTTTGTCACATTTATTCCTGTCCATTTTCTTGTCTCTATCAACTGAATAGTAAATCTAACGTAGCAGAAATACCATAAAAAAAACTCTGTCTCTCGCTTACATCCTAGTTCGCCCATGCCCTGCGGGATTTCATTGAGGAGCACAAGCTGTCAGATTTGAAGGTGTGGACGAGCCAATTGAGAAGAACCATCCAGACAGCGGAGGAGCTCGGCGTTCCTTATGAACAGTGGAAGATACTCAACGAGATTGATGCCGTCAGTACCCCCGTTATCTAGGTTTCCAAGAATCATTACAGATTCATGGAGCTCTGGTTCAGACAAGCAGAAACTGTATTTTAGATGTTTTTCTGAGACACTTTAGATTATCAGCGTAGAAGGCCCCAAGAAAACAAGTTTCAAAAGATACTGGTCACAGAAAAGACAACATCCGTCAGGCAATCGTAGGCAGTGCAAGGAGAGAAGTTTTATTAAAAGCCTCTAAAAAAGGCTTTTAACTACAGTTACTGTAGTTAAAAGGCTGAACAGTTTGAATTTCTCTTTTGCTCGTGCCTTTGACATTAAGACAAATGCTCCGATGTCCTTGTCCAGGGTGTGTGTGAGGAGATGACTTACGAGTTGATCCAGAAGACATTCCCAGAGGAGTTTGCTTTGAGGGACCAGGACAAGTACCACTATCGCTATCCAGGAGGAGAGGTGACCATCCTGCAGTTTTACTTTAGTTTCATCGTTCATCATAGTAGGCCTTTTTTGACAGAAGACATTTTGACATGTGACAAAAGGAAAAGCAAAGGAGTAAGTAATAAAATGAATGATGGCTGAATACCATGTTTGGATTCATGGTCCTGGTCAGTGGTGGGCTCAAAAAAAAAACTTTATGTGACTCAGAAGTATAACAAATACACGTCTGTCATTAAAACACACAATTTTTAAACTTTTAAGTATTTGACCATTTAGAAGCAACATAATTTCTAGAATGTTGTGCAGCCTATATGGCAATGCATCACATTTTCTCCATTTTAAGGCCATCCATTAGTCCCACACTGGAAGAGCACCCGAGCGGGCACTTTGTTGCCAATACCACAGTTCCTGGTATTGTGCATGCTGGCTCACTGTCACGGCTTTTACTGGAATACTTAAACAGAGAGTCGTTGAGCCATTGTGGATGTTATTAGTAACACCTGTGCTTTTCCTACTCACAGTCAAAGTCAAACTGTCAGCAGTACTCCCACTGTTTCTTCACTATTCATTCACTCACCCATTGTTATTGGAAGTGTCTGAAAGTGTATAGATTACTTTAAACCTGTTTAAACTTGGCCTTCTGCAGTGAGGTTAAAATAATCTCTTTTCTCCTTCTCTCTAGTCCTACCAAGACCTTGTTCAACGTTTGGAGCCAGTTATCATGGAGTTAGAGAGACAGGGCAACGTGTTGGTCATCTGCCACCAGGCTGTGATGCGCTGTTTGCTCGCTTACTTCCTGGACAAGAGTGCAGGTCAGATGAACACATGAAGTGCACACACATACACACACGCATACTAGATCACACCGGCAGATGATAAGATTTTGTATACTCTCTTCTTCATCCCACAGAAGATCTACCGTACATGAAATGTCCGCTCCACACAGTGCTCAAGCTGACCCCGGTTGCATACGGTAGGTCTTTACTTTAGATGAAGCTCTCTCAACCATAAGAGTTTTTCTCATTATATGCAGGTTTTTATGTAAATGCATTCTATCTTTTATCTTCTAGGTTGTAAAGTGGAAATGTTTTATCTTAATGTGGAGGCAGTAAACACACATCGAGACCGGCCTCTTGTAAGTCACTCTGAATAAAGCTGAAAAAAAAAATCACATTGTTGTATTAAAGACTCAAATGTGATCGTATATGAATATTTGTTTATTGTTTACTGACACAGTAATAATTCAAAACTACTCAGCAAATCCAAAACATCTAATCCAAAGACTAATAGGCTCTTTGTCTTGTTTGTTGTGTCTGCTAGTTGAATGCAATCACACTTCAACCCCTGTGTGTGAGGCTTTGCTTCCCTGACTCCCCTCCTCTTATATGTGTGTTTTGTCTTGCTCCCTGTTATCTTTAATCGGTAATGACTCAGTCTGGCTTGAGCTGTGAGCTAATGAATGTTAAGTCAGTTAATTTTGGTATTATTTTACCTCGATGGAGGCAATGGCTGATCATGCTACCTTGCTTGGCTGATCTAATCACTACCTTTGCTCTGGTTGCATCCTGATACTAAGATTATGTATCTACTCTATGAAAGACTTGTGATTTGAGCTCTTAGTCCCATTTTTAAATGTTTTCCTTCTACAAGGTTTTCTATCTTGATTGAAGCAGTTGTTTCGAAAGCCTGTTGTGTGTCAGGGGTGTGCAGCTACCGTTCATTAATGTTTTGTGTTGTGTGGTGGTTGAAACAGTTTCTGTCACTAAAAAACGGCTTCAGTTGTCTCACCTGTTGCTGTGGATCCATGTGGAGAGGACGGCTAGTTTGCTTGGCTGTGTCTGGGTCAGGTGTCCCCCGGGTGTTGTTCTGTTCCCTGATCCTTTTTTTCTTAACACTTGCGGTATTTCATCTCCTACCAGGGTAAAATCCCGAGGGACTCTGCTCTCATACATCGGCGGAATAGTTACACTCCCTTGTCCAGTCACGACCAGGTCAAGCGTCCCAGGCTCTACAGCGCGGGCAACCAGCCCTGGCTACCGCTCGCCCCCACCCCATCAGCTCTGATGCCAGAGGGACGGCAAAGCCAAGTTAGTGCCAGAGTTACAGGCTCCCCCTCTAAATCAGTCACCGTCAACTGTAATCAGTCACCTCCCACCACAGTTGTAACCCTGTGTTTGGCATCCCCCGCCTCAGTTTTGGATCCTCTCGATGATTTATTGTCTGTGTTGAAAAATGACGTACATATGGAATCCATCTCTATCTATCTTTTCTCTCTCAGGGCATGTTTAGGATCTTGGATGGGTTGCTGTGTCTCCTTTTAACGTTGTGCCTGTCTGTTTCCAAAGTCTTGCATGACCTCTGCTTCACCAGTGGGCTGTCTCCGGCTTGAATATGCAGAACAGCATGCATACTTTTTTGCTCAGGAAAGCTCCTCAGACTTAATAAGATACAAAAGACACACAAACATCAAAGACATCTTGTACTGAATTTCGTATTTCTGAGTCCCATTTGAGAAAAGTCGAGGGCAATTTGAGAAAATTAACATAATACATACAGTAAATTACACATTTAGAGCTTAGATTTAAAGATGCATATTCATATTTGTACGTCTTGTGTATTGTTGTGTTGGCCTTGCATTGTGGGTACAGTGCTTCAGCCCTTCTCCACATTTCTATGTATCTCTCTCTTTCTACACTTTCTTCAACTCTGTCTTACAGCCTCGGATAGGAAGCGGTTGTCTGTGAGTATTTTGGAGACTCCGTACATGTTACCAGCCCTTCATTTTCTTTCCCATAATTCAACTCATGTCATTGTTAACCCATGTCAATATGTTGTCACAGTGGTGTATAGTTTTATGGTTTCTCTAACCTTCCATCACCTTTGCACTTTAGTTAGAACAAACGCTGCTGATGATTTTGTTTCATCTCAGCGGCCTTATCAAGAACACTATCAGACTCTGATTCTTTGGTAGTTTGATAAACAGCTGCAATCATGAAGTCAACTTCAATAAAACTCTCTGATGACAGTATTTGTTGACATTTCAAAATTTTGGAAATAATTCTGCTAATATGAGGGTAGATTTCTTTGTTAGTGCATAAAGTGAAGTGTGCTAAATTATAATTTGAAGCCAATCATACATGGGGTCAAATGTGATTAATAATTAATAACACTTCTGGATAATGTGCTAAAGAAGAGTCTCAACTAATGTGGCTGTTTTACCACACTTTTACATTGTGACCTAATTTTTCAAATGGGAACTTAAGACTCCTGGTCCCCCCTACCCCCCCGACCCCCCTCTGGGGAGCTATTAGTTTCCTCGAATAGGATTTGCTGCTGTGAGGCATTAATTTGTGAAAGTCAGTGACATTTTCTCTTTCTTGAAGGAGTCCCTGTGCGAAGGAATCGACTTTGACAGCCCCGAAGAAACTAGTGGCTGTGTCCGCTTCTGAGTGAAGACGAAAGCGTCTTTCTTCATGGCACAATGTGGGCAAAAGGTTCTGGGTTCAGTCATGTAACACAAGACAGAAAGAAATGTTTTTTTTTTTAACACTTTCTGGATGGAACAACATTCACATGAAGTCGAAGAACAGTGTCTTTCAATCTCAATTCTGTTTAACTTTACTCTGCATGTTGAGGCTTTTAACTGGAAGCCTTATCATTAGTATCATAAACACTTTCTGCATGCGCGCCCAAATCAATCAATGAACAATAAGAAGATCAGAACTGGCAACTCTTTGTGAATACTACCATGCCTTACTGTGTACTGATAGAATTAGCTCCTCTGTATGCCACTGAATGTAACGAGAACAAGTTATGCATTATTATGTTGAAAAGCAGTTTTTAAACTAATGCAAATAGACCATGATATAAAATAGATGCTGTAAGAAATATTTTTATAGTACGAATCCACTCATCTACCATACAAACGAGCTGTAGTTGTGATTCTTATGTGTTATGTTATTGATTTAGATTTCACAGAACGTGTGACTGAAGGAAATTAAAATACTGTACTGAGTTTTCTGTATGTTTTCTGTGTTGTTAGAAAAATACACCACATTGCTGGACACACTGTATACCAGCAGTAGATAAAGAAACACAGCCAACTTTTCTGCTACGAGCTGCCATTCACATACCAACTGTATTAATCCGGTGTTAATTGTCACAAACACTAAATCCTGAATATTCATCTGTTAATCCATTCTTCTTGTTGCCTGTGAATTCTAGGAAGGGATTTTGTACAACCATCACATGTTGATGGTATGTTAGCTATTTTCTGACATTTGTGTTTGTGATATCAGAGACTACTGGTCAAACATTTGTTTTTGCTTCATGCTAATGTATCTTTTCTTCTTGGATTCTTATCACATAAGCCATTTTTCGACACACAGATTTGATTTAATAACAGACAGTGGTACAGGTTTATTTCTATGACTGTAATGTGTGACTGTTGACAGCGTATTGCCCCGCTCAAAGCAGCCTACTTGTGCCTTTTTAGCAGACAATAAAAAGTGAATTTTGAGGTGATATTTTATTCCATAGAAATGTAGGAGATCTCAGCAGCACATGGCTTCTTCCAAAAGGAGTGATCCAAGTCTGTTACAAGTTATTTTATTACTAGTGATCATTTAATTGTTCCTTGTTTCATGCAAAATTGTCTCAAAAATAATTAAAGAACTGAATAAATAAGAGATTCTGCTTTGCTTGTTACATATGAAAGCCTCAGTTATTGGAAGAGAAATGAAAGGCATTATACAGTTTAGTAGGAGTACTGGCGGTTTGGGGGGTGTTTATCTTTAAACTTCTAGGGCTTATGGGAAAAGTTGTTCGTTAAATGTAGCTACAAAATCACAGATTGTATTACAATCATTAAACAAAGGTAAATAAACAACAAGACTAGTACATATGAAGGGAACTACCTGACACACTGGTCTGTGTTCCACAACTGGAACAACAACAACAACAACAACAACAAATTACAATGAATGTATTTTATAAGAACTTATACAGTAATCTATCTATCTATCTATCTATCTATCTATCTATCTATCTATCACAGGTCACATGACAGCTATAAAAACGTAACGCGCTATCAGCAGATTTACGGTAGACGCGGGGGGTTGCGTCATGTCGTCATAAAGACGTGAAGTGACGTTGAACACATCCGTCTCTCACTGGATGTTTATTGTTTGAGGCTGGGCTGCACTCAACAGCAGGTAAGAAAACTAATAATCGTGCCACTTAATGTGCGCAGTCGTGTACAGGTGTGAGAGTTGACAGGTGGACCGAATTTAACCCGACTTCATCCGGATGTGAAACGCTTTAAAGAACAGCCCGGTGAACGCCGAGCTAACGGACGGGGTAGCATGCTAACGTTAGCAGACGATAGCACGACATTATTAGTCAGCTCTCGTTGACGTTTGTCTCTTGAGTCTGTTTTTCATACACGTCTCAGGATGAATGTCCCTCAACCCCTTCACTACTTATCACGTTATAAGACCGGGAGCTCCACATATTAATGCTGTATTTAACCAGCTGTCTGTCGACTTAAGTTAACAGAACAAAGAGAATAAAACAAAGCAATGTCGCTGTCATGTGTCTCTTTACTCCACTGCTGCTCTTCATCAGCACTTTCATTGTTTATGCCCTGGGCCCATTCAGAAAGCTGTACGATCCCCCACACTGCTGTGTACTATATATACACACATTAAAGCACTTTAAAGTCCAGAGTTATGAAGGATAACACCATGTTTTAGGTGATTCAGTGTCGTTAAACCCCCTTTTAAACTTACTAGTTTCGTTTCTTTTAAAGGGCAACTTAACTTTACCAGCAGTGGTTATGAGTCAGAGTTGACTCTTATTGTGTAATGCTCCACCTGGCCCTGTTTGTGCCTCACACATAACCACTACATTGGCGAATTGAGGTTATTTTATTGTAGTCAAATATAAACAATTTTGGGAAAAGTAGTTAAACAAACCTTTTTTTTTTTAATCATCCATTAGGCATGTTTGTAACCCTGCCACCTATCCACGTTAATCCATTTCACAAGGTGTGTTTACGTTCCTCAACCAGGGATTATAACACCTTTCTTAAATGAAGCCCACTCCTCAGTTGGGGTAAATATTTAAGAATCTACAGGATTTTTAAATGATACTGGTGTTTGTTTACTTTTTGACTAACAACCAATATGTGCTTGGAAAATGACGCCAAAGTTTGTTTTTGTTTTAATTTCCCAGTACAACGGGAAAATAAAGTGACTTCCATTTAAATTAAACGCAGGACTTTTTCATTTTTCTGCTCTACTTCATGATTGTGTGCGTCACCAAAACAAACAACAAACAGTGAATAGTTTAATTTGATGTATTCCAGCTTCTATTAACAAAGAAAAACAAATCAGAGTAGATTTTAATCTTTATTAATGTCCACAAAGTGTCCTCTTAATAGCAGTTACAATCTTTTGACATCAAGTTCCTTGGTGGATGAGCAAAGTTCATACCAACTTGCTGCGTTACTGATATGTTTCTCACGTGTTTCTTGCAGACGGGATGTTGCGGCTTCGCTGTAAGACCAAAAATGGGAGCCACATAATGCAGGGCCTGACTCATCAGTCCTGTGTGCAGGAGCTGAAGAGCAAGGTGGAGGAGCTGACTGGTATCCCCTGTAATGTGCAGAAAATTATGGTTGGTTATCCGCCTTCCAGCCTCGATCTTCAAAATGGAGACGCTCACCTCAAGGACTACCCCATCAAATCAGGTATGAGGGCAAATACCCAAAACATGCAACATTAGGAAGACACAATATGGTTTTCCTGCTTTTTTTTAATTACCTGCATCTCATGGCAGATACAGATAAAATAACGGATATTTAATATATATTTTTTAAATTGCTATAAGCTGTAGAGTATGCATGCGTGAAGGTAAGAAAAGCTGAGATGTAGTGAGAAAAGATTATTAAATATTCTATAGTTCAGACCTAACCAAATCTAACTGACATTACTATTGTTAGCACAACAACAAACAACATTTCTGACTCTTCAAATGTTCATTTTTCTTCTAGTACATCCAAAAAACAATCCTCAAACATACTCTGGGTTTAATAGAACATAAAAAGTAAATATATTATATATTATTTTTTATCAACTAATAATTTATTGCCTACAAGCTACTTGTCAGAATAATTCATAGTACAAAGTTCTCAGTGTTGTCTGATAATTTATCAGCCCCAATAATTATTGTGATAACATGAACCACATTCACACCATTTGTTGTTTATATAATGACTTTATTACTTTAATTACATGTTCCAACTTTTTTTCAAGACTTGACATAAGTATAATGACTGGTAAGAAATATTTATTCTACTATGGACAATGTTCTGTGGACCAAAGCAACTGATTCATTCAAATATATGTGCAAAACATTCAGTAAATAAATGGATAGCTCTAAACAAGACCAGTGTCTGACCAGGCTGAACTGTGTTGTGTCATCCTCTCCAGGAGACACACTCATTGTTGAGGAAGAAAAAAACAAGCCAAAGCCTCAGGATCATCCCACTGTGACTAAAGTACCGCGCCTGGAAGCCTCACCCGTACTGGCACGTCGAGTGGTCCCAGCTGACAACTCCTGCCTCTTCACCAGTGTGTATTATGTGGTGGAAGGAGGCGTATACGACCCCGCTTGCGCCCCCGAGATGCGAGGCCTCATCGCCCAGATTGTGTCAAGTGACCCTGCAGCTTACTCGGAAGCGGTGCTGGGGAAGACCAACGAGGAGTACTGCTCTTGGATAAGACGCGACGACACCTGGGGAGGAGCCATCGAGGTGTCAATCCTGTCCAAGTTTTACCAGTGCGAGATCTGTGTGGTGGACACTCAGACAGTCCGAGTGGATCGATTCGGGGAGGATGCTGGCTACCACAAACGCGTGCTGCTCATCTACGACGGCATCCACTATGACCCGCTGCAGAAAGAAACGCCCGGCTCCGACGCCCCGCCCCTGACTATCTTCTCCACCACAGATGACGTAATCCTGGCCCTGGCCCTCGAGCTGGCAGACGAGGCTCGCCGCAAGCGGCAGTTCACGGACGTTAACCGCTTTGCATTGCGCTGCATGGTGTGCCAGACAGGCCTGGTGGGACAAAAGGAAGCTCGCGAGCACGCCAAGGAGACGGGCCACACCAATTTTGGCGAAGTGTGAGCGCTATTTTGTCCTTATACTCCCTCTCACAAATACAACCACCACCGACCCTGTGCCCCACGTCTGGCAACTGTTGGTCTATCTGTCAATCTGCTTGTGTGATCCTCTACCTCACATTGTCCAGCGACATCTATGGAGAATCTGCAGACAGCCTCTAACCGGTTCAGTATTACTTTTTAAACTGCTGTCAGTTCTCAAAGTCAGAAACGCTACTGCAGTGCTCCGATGTCATTAAACCATCGTTTTAGTCTGTTAGGGATGGTTTCAAATCTGTTTATCTGGGTCAAGTAAAATATGCAAACAGTTCTTAGAATTTGTTTTATTCTGTTGTAGAGTACTCAATGGCTGGGTTGTATTGATACAGCACCAGACAGTGGCTGATGTGTTTGTCTTCAGAAAAGGCCCCAGACGGCCGATACGTATCTGAATGACTAAACTTAAGTTATAAAAAGCTGCTGTCTGGTTCTAGAAAGAGTTTAAAACAACCACTTGGAATTATTTGCTCTACGATGATCCTATTCACTGTTGTCTTAAGCGCAGCACACAAAGTTTGACTGTTATTCATCATGTTGGTTATGTAGCATGTTTTTTATTATGTCCTTTTGTTGGTTGAAAGATGTGCGTCAGAAACTTTTCCGATACTAAAAACAGATAACTATAGTTGTCTGAATTGTTCAGCACAGTTCAGCTGTGTTATTGCTAAGCTGGATTCATCTCTATACAAATGTGCTATGACATCCCTTTTATGAATTTACCTGGCAGTGGCCATTAAGATTGAGGTTATGCATTTTGAAAAACATTACGTTGCAAAATTGTGATCCAAAATTTGCCAAATTACTTACGTGGGACTTTTCCCTTCTTCTTTTTTCCCCTTTTTTCCAGTGTTATAACAAGGGATATCAGTGAGCTTATGTTAAAGTAGACAAAAAAAAAAGAGAGAATTGGTGCTGAAAACAAAACATTTTACACAATCTGTAGTTTTTGCTTTTCTTCATCGGTACAAGTTTTTCCAGGAGTGTACTTTTTTAATTCTAGTGTTTAATTTTCAGATATCATCATGCTGTAAGAACTAATTTTAAAAAAAGATACAGTTTTGTTTTATATTGCTGCATATTTTGAAAAAAACATTTAAAGTGTGCTGAGAGGTGTTTTTAGCGTTGCATTTCAGAACACAGATCATTGACTGGAAATCTGAATACAGATGCTGTATGGAGGTCCCTGCTGCTCACATAATGCATTTACTGTTCAGGTATAGGCCATACATCATGTGCTTTGCTAATAAGTATTAACCAGTTATCTTTTGCAATTTCAGTTTTTAATTTTAACTCACATTTGCAGCCAAAAAGTGACCAGTCAGGGTGCTTTTGAAATCTATGAGTAAAAGGTCCATTCTGGTTTAATGTTTAGCTGGTTTATGTTGTCACCACTCTGTTCCACTGGATGTTTTGCACAACTGGAGCATGTTCTCACATTTTTCTTTCGCTTTGCTAATTCCTTTTTGAATACTCCTACTGCCTAATAAAAGGATGAAGCTTATGATAAATCACAGCTCACATATTTAAAAGGAGGCCATGATGATATTTATGGGATTAGTTGTTTGCTTTTTGAAGCCCAGTTTCTTGCGGCCTGGTGTTGTGCAGAACCAGTATTTCTACTTCACGTATCTGTGATGGAAATATTGGCACTGAGTTGTTGCCAAAAATTAAAGTTGGACTATGGAGGAGTTGATTGGGGCTTTCTTTCAGATTTTATTTTATTTAGGTCAGACTCAGATGGTGTTGGGAATAAATGAAAGTAAAGCAAAAATGTCAAATTACTTCTGTGTTTGAATGTGAATTACTACGATTTCTTTTCCTCATCTGTTACCTTTTTTTTAAATTTTTTTTTTTTGGGCAGTTTTATTTTAACAGTGATTATGGATTTAAGCGGCTTGCATAAAAGTGAAACTATGAAATGCTTTTGTTGTATTTTGTATTTTACCAAGTTCTCATGACTCTTCAAGGACAATAACAATGAATGTTGCACACAAAGCACTACAGAATAACTGGATTTACTTGATTTTTTTCAGTGTTGTGTCACTATTAAAAGTTATAGCCGACGACGTTGTGTACAAGTCATTTTGTATCAGATATTTATTTTTTATTTTTCAGTTTCATGGTTCATGTCTGCAGTGAAAGGTAACTTAGCTTCTAATTGTAATACTAATTGTGCCCACGTCAGCGGTGTATTTATAACTCAAACTGACAATCCATGGCCACTGCAAATAAACCCTAATTGGCATAACAACGCTCATCCTGTGCCACCATAGTGGGATTACACTACCTACATGTTATTTTAAGGAACATCTACTTTCTTTCTTAACAGGATTTGTTCACTAGCTATTTGACCGACAGTAGCAGCAACTACAAAGCGGCTGTGTGAAAGATAAGTGTTGCACAAGTGTAATTAATAACTTTAATAACAGCTGTTTTCCATCCATGTGTGCCAGATTCAAGGCCATCGAGTACAAAAGGTTAGATAATCAATCTTAAGTCATTTCTGGGGAGAACAAGCTATTCATTCCCCACTTCGGTTTCTCAGTTGTGAGAATTTGAACTTTAAGGATTGGTTGATAAATTAGTTGATTAGTCAATTACAAAAAAATAATTGGAGAATAATCTGATAACTGATTGTTTTATAATTTTTCGTGCAAAAATGCCAGAACTTTGACTAATCACTAATTGTGACGGCATTTAAGAAACCAAACAATAAAATAATGATCATCAGAGGAATCCATAATAATTATTTGCATCATATTAATTAATAATTATATTAGATTCACGGCTTTAATATTAACATTTTGATGCTTTAATTACATTAAAAGTTGTATTATTATGAAGGTTATTTCAATCTGCAGATGGATATAGGGCTTATTTCTTTGTTCCCAGGGTCCTGTTCTTCAGATTTAGGGGTAGGGAATTGTGGAGCTAATGCATGAGTAATAATTATTATATGTACACACACACACACACACACACACATTATTCAGGTTTTTCCTTTTAATTTCAGTGTAAGACTTTTACTTGTAACAAAGTACTTCTACAGTATCAGTAGCATACTTTTATTTAAGTAAAGCATCCTTAATACAACACTGTCCATTGTCATTTATGTCTCATGCTACAGGCAGTTTACATGTATGAAAACTGAGAACATGTAGTAACAAAGAAACAAAAAACACATAAAAGACATTATATATATTATATATATTATATATTATTTATTTAGTACAGGCTGCTATGGTTTTAATTGCTTTTTGTGAGTGCTGAACTGAAATAAATGTAATGTTTGAACTCCCTGACAGAAGGCAACAAGGCACAGTCTCCTAACAGTGAATGTACATTTAAAAGTAAAATAAGATTAATCATCAACTGTTCTTCTGTCCGCCATCTTCCAAGGAGACTGAAAACAACATCTGAACATCTGTCTACAATTCACACCGACGGCTGTCCTTTAATCGTTTTGTTAACGGACGGAGGGACTTCAACCGGTCAACACGGGTTGCTATAGTAACCAACTAACCGGTAACGTAGCAGCAACGCAGTAACGACTTTCACTTGGGGTCTACTTTTCGAGTAACGAGCCTCGCTGCCGCGGTCAGCGGAGAGAGTCTGTGACACAGAGACAGTGATTAGTGAGATTACTGCAGTTGTGGGCACCATGACAACGAGGGCTCCTCTCTGATTGGCTGAGAGCTTAAAAAGGCACAAAGTCCTTCAGTGCAGGTATCACAGAGCCGCTCACTCACTCACCGACTCTTCTCTTGCACAGGAAGCAGGAGATGGATAACTGAGTAACGCACGCAGATTCACACAGGTACGTTTAACTTTAAAACAAACTTTGTGGCAGTTAAATCTACTTAAGGTTAGTTTGAACAACAATTTATGTTAAGTAGGGTTGTTTAAATCTTGTTTTTCCCTCTAACGTTTAGATATGAAATTAATCTATTGCTCACATTAAGTGTGTTATATCACGTTATGGTAACTTGAACTGTTTCCCGATTAAATCCCCGCTTTTTAAAAATAGTTTTTGTTCTCCAAATTCATATTTGTGTATAAAAGTCATATAGTTAATGTAATTTTCGTGTTGAGCCATCTTTACAGTGCATAGTCAGCTTTTGTTTTATTTGCAGACTAGTTTTAGAATAATCTATATTTTGTAGAGACTATTTGAGGCAGATAATCTTTATTACAAAAGACAGACTAATGTGCTTAAAACTCTGGGGAATCTGAAGGTAGAGGGTTGATAGTGAGGATTAAAATAAACTTGGGAAAAATTATATATATGTATCTATATATAGTAAAAAAAAAAAAAAAAAAACCTTGTTCAGTTGCTTTTTTTATGGCCACAATCTTAAACAACTGCAACTGTTACTGGACCAGAGATTATGTTCCTAGGAGCTTCACTTGGCAGTTACATTTATTGCCTCAGCCTCTGCATTACACAGTTTTATGAAAGCTAAACTCATCCTGTTTCCCGTGGCGGTTGCTCCTGTGTTGATAGGATGTATCTATATGGAGATAACATTATATATGATATGATATATTTTTGTCCTTTCATGTATGCTCTATAGGGGTTAATGGCGTTTCGTTATGACAAGGGAAAAAACCCAAGTCACATTGCCCACTTTAACAGGACAGTCACTGTTAATACTTAACACTTATAGAAGACGCATTTGCTGTTCAAATAACCGTCACTTTTAGGTTTAAAATATATATAGTTTTTGCCTGCAGGCCACAGCAGCTGCTCTTTTCCTTTGCATGTGATCAACCCAGATTGTGTGTGGTTAAAACACAACAAACGTTATCTCAGTGTTTCCACTGTTTCACAGAATCATATCCTGACCTGCATGCAGCGGGACAGATGGGGGCATTTACATATTGGGCTGGTGATAGGGGCTTTAAGATTTTACAGGGATGGGATGACATGGCAAAGCACGAACAGTGAACAGGAGTGCTTTTGTGCCTCTCTTGGCCTATCTAGCAGCCCTTCCCTCTCAGGTGTTGAAACTTATCCAAAAGTGAATTTCTTTTCACCAGGATCAAACAGAGCTGCCTTTATATTAAACTTTGTGCCTTTACTTTAAACTTTATTCTCTAAAATGTGTTTGTTCTGGTAGAAATATTTGCTCAAAGTTGCTGGCAATTTGCAGTAATAGCACCAATAAGATGCTTTTATCCAAAGTGTTTCACGTGGCCAGAATAGTGTGTGAATGTTATCATTGTATTTACATTCTCTCTTTATTTCACCACCTAAAAATTATACAACCAAATAAATAATGTCCCAATACTAGACTGTTACAGTAAGACAACAAACTGGATATCACATAGCTTCCAGGAGATCATTGCTGCTGCCCTCCACTCCCGCTGAAATTGATCCGGTTGAGGAAGATTAGGAGTGGCATGTGTGCTGTAATCTGAGTCACATGCAGTAAGAGGACTAGTTCGATATCTGTCAGAAACACACTAACCAATGATACCCTGTCATTCTCCAAGAGCAAGGCTGTCCAATCATCAGAAAACTGTCGTGCATGTAAAACACACCACAGGGCTACATAGGATGTTACATGTTGAGTTGATATTATGTTGGTCTGCGTATGAGACAGAGCAAATTAAAAATAGCCTATTAATTCAGACATATATGCATCTCAAGGACCATTGCGTTGGTTTTAGCCAATTAACTCCAGCCTATGTATCCTTTACATTACTCTGAACCTACTGTACTAATTAGATAATTTATCACAGTTCACATTTAGTCACCTTTAATTTGTTTTTTCTCAAAAGTTACATTACAGTTGCACAGTATTGCAGCTGCGAGCCGGGATCTTTTTTTTTTAAACTTGTTGCGAGTGTCAACATCTTAGAGCTTAAAAGTCAACTGTGTTCAAGCTAAATGAGACCTAGAACACAAGGCAAATATGACCTTTATGAAAACAATATAGTGTAAATGTACTATTACTTGTTGCTGTACTGCAGCAATTGATGCTTTAGTGTTGAGTGTAGGGGATTAACCATGAATAATTCAATGCATCAATAACAGTAGTTTTCTAAAACTGCCTTTGAGCAAAAGGAAACTTTACTTGATGAAAATCAAAACTTAACAAAAGCTAGTTGACTCTACAGAGGCTGTAAAGGGCTTCGACTTTTTAACACTTTTTATTCACTTGTAAGAGTTTTTGAGTTTGTCTTCGAACATTTTTAAATTCTCCTGTGATACTTTACCCTCAAGCTCCAGCAATGCATACAATACGAACTATTGGACCCATTTGTTCTTCAATGGGGTGATTATGTATGAAGTCTACAGCTGTCATGCTATTGATATTATAAATGAGTTAGGAAGACTCAATATGTTATAATTCTCACACTATCCAACCCTACATGGCCCAACCACAATGTGCACCATCTTGACAGTATAGGGTAATAACATTAAAGTAACCCTAAGGACTTATTTTAATCCTGGGTTCAGGTAACTCAGGGTTACCTTTACATGTTTGACACTGTTTACATTGAAGCTAGTAGTAAAGATGGATCAGTCCGATCTGGAGCTGACCAGTTCCCTGTGGTGCTCATTAGTGCTCACACACACAACATCTCATTTTCCTTCCTCTCCATGGCTGTGTACATTCATTGGAAACAAATGTACAGGTTATTTGACCCCACATATATTGTTAATCAGTGCTTGTGTACATTATTTTGTCATTTATTAATTAATTATATATGAAGCCAAAATCTCAAATTCCCTCTATAGCTGAAATATTGTCCTTCAGCCATAAATCAGATGTGGTCAAAGCTCTAAATTTAGAAATATGGTTGATGCTTTATTGTGACAATTCACACTTTCTGGTCATCTATTTGCACGACACATCCTGAATGATGAGTATCTAGTATATTTTTGATAAAGAATGTCGTACAGACTGCCAGTATCGAGGGTGGAAAATTGTAGGAATCTGGTAATTCCTAAAGTACAAAAACCAGCATATCGGTATAGTCCGGTGTACCTATTACTGTTACTTGTTACTTCAGTCTCTAATTCAGGGCCATGTGTCAAATTTAATTTAAACCCTCTATTTTACTGGTTTTCCAGCAAGTAGGGTTATGTAATTTATCCATTTTTAACATCACATCAGTGTGTTTTCTGCCTACAGGTTCCTCAGTTATCTGTTAACCAGATGTCCTTTTATGCTGATTAGAAATTTCTGCATTAAGGTTAACACTAGGTGACACAAAAGCTATTTTAAGGCAAAAAGATTGCAAGCGAGATTATGCCAAAATATTGCAAGGGGATGCAATAGTACAGTATTTCCAAGAAAATTCCCAATATGGTCAGGGACTCCGTAGACTTCATACTGTACATAAAAGAATGTAAACTAATGGCTGTCTGAAAGAAAGACCACCTATAAACCTATGGAAATGGTGTCCACAGAGACATAAACATTGTCATTGAATCAACCATTATTGTCACTCTGCCATGCTTGTAGATGAACAACTTAAACTGCAATTCTAACTTACCATGTATTCCCTTTTTACAGAGTGAACCACAACAATCTGTGCCACTAACCTCAGATAAAATCAGGGCACTAAGATGCCCAAAAGCGATACCTGGCCAGGTGGCATTGGATTGGAGACGATGACCAGCATGGACAGTGCTGGCAGCTGTGACAGTGTTGTCAGCGCCAATTCTGGCTTTGTAAGTTACTGATCTTCCCCTCTTGAACCTGAGAATAGTATTAGTTCCTCTACAACTCATTATACAAAACAACATGAAATACACAAAACAATGTAGGTAACAGAGAGTAGAAACATAACAGCTAAGTGATGTATCTGGTTTTATAGTTGTGTGTCTAAGTGAAAGGCTTTAAGGCTTTACACACTCTTCTGTAAAAATCACCTTTGGGATATCTCACAGTGGATTTTTTGTCACGAGGAAAGGCCTACTTTTATGTATTACAGAGTGATGATAGTCTGGAGTACCTGTCTGCTGAGGAGAAAGCCTGTCTCATGTTTTTGGAGGAGACTATTGAGTCTTTGGATACTGAGGAGGACAGTGGACTGTCCAATGATGAACCTGACCAACTGCCCAACCCTGGCAACATTGCTAACAAACTGGCTGACCTGTCAGCCTCCATGGGCAAAAACAAGCTCAACAGTAAGTTAATCTCTTGGCAGAGACGCAGAATTAGTTAACCAGTAATACTGAAAGAGAGACGCATTGTGATGAACATGTGCTTGTTTGTCTTTCAGGTTCACAGAAACATGCCTCTAAGGAACCCATGAAGCAAAATGTTGACACCAAACCCATGCAGAGCTACCTGGTCCCTACACCTTTTGTTGTGGCAAGAAGCTCTCCATGTTCTGTACCCATTGCTAAGCAGAGTGTCCCTCCAGACAAAAATCTCAGCTGTCCACCTCAGTTCACGTCTTCAATCAAACAACCTGGTCACAAACACAACCAGAAACCTGTTGCGCCCCAAGTACCTTTAGAGGTTAATGTTGTGATGCTTCCTCCTACTAAATCCAGGGACTGCTCAGTTCGGACAACTGAAGGTCCTTTACATAGAGGTCCTCTGTCCTATGAGGCACTTTTTCATCTGCGGAGGAGTGCCTCCACAAAGAAGACGCCTTTATGTCCCACCATCGATCATACTATAGACTTGGACAAGCAACTTCCTGTAACAGCGGAAGGCCCAAACCTTGGAAATCTTCTAAGATTCGGCAGATCCAACTCAGAGGCTTTCATGTCTAAGACAGGTCCTCCAGTTGTGGCCCCCAAACCCAAAAAGATTCCTGCCAACATATCTATGAAAACACAAAATGAAGCAGCCATAACCTCTGACTCTTCATACGGTGTCAAGCATGCAACAGACCCCCAGGTCGTGAGACTGGAAGCTTTGCAGAAGCTGGGACTCCTGAAAGATCAACAACCAGAAAACGAGACAGTAGCCCCACTGCCTCCCCCGAAATCTCCCTCCTCTCTGGACCCAACCCCAAACAGATTTACAAGAGGTCCATCTAACATTAATCCGTCAAGTAATCCATCGTTTTCTCATTCTCAAGTGCCCTCTGAGCCCAAGAACAGACCTCTGCAGAGCAGTGCCAGTTTCCATCACTACTCCAGACCTGACAAACAGCCTGCGTCTGTATCGCATCCTGCTCAATCCAACGGAGCAAAGGCAGCTGGTCTGGAGCGCTCTGCTACCATGGACAACCACAGAAACGGTGGAAGATGCCCTGAACCACGGTACACCACTGCAGCTCAGCCCCAAAAACCCTCAAACTCAGTCGGATATACTGTGATGGTGGTGCCTGGGATGGGAGCTGATCGAAAAGAAGCACTCAGAAAGCTCGGACTGCTCAAAGACTAAAAACAGATGAACAGCAGAAGTCTGCCTGCGTAAGTGCTCAGAAAGAGTTCAAGAGTACTATCAGCTTAAAGAGAGTTAGAGCATTAAGGGGGAACTTGGCACTTTGGCAAACTGAAGTAGAAGATGATGAAGAAGAGGAAGAATTTAAAAAGGGAAATACCTGCACTTTTAATGTAGGTTGCAGTTAATCACTTACTTGAGGGCCGTTTTTAATTAAAATATTGTTCTTATGTAGGTTTCAACAGTACCTGAAAATGCACCTTACACAGTTTAAACCCCGGAACCTCCTCGTATTTCAGTAAAATGTTAATGTAATGCCATCTAATTAGAATCTCTTGGTGTTTGATATAACAAATTTCAGTAAGATATATAACTTGATAAGGCACAACAGAACAAATCATCAACAGTACTTTAAACATCAGTATATTGTTGAAGTTATAGCCTTCGCTCTTCCATCCCCAAATCAGATGGAGCATTGGTTTTCTGCATACACTCGTATGCACGTACACGTTTATGGCTATAAGAAATTATTTGTAAGAAGCAAAACAAGACACATTTTATATTGGTGGTAACATACTGAAGCCATCCATATTGTGGCTTTCCATTAATCTTGTTCCTTCCCCATCATACTGTACATAAAATGCTGCTCCGCTGTACTTCTACTTAAAGGAAACATTTTAATTTTATAAATCACAGATGTGCCTATAATTGGATTGTTGAGTACATTCTTTGGAGCAATCACTTTATGCTGCTCATAATTATTGTAAAATGAAATTTGGAAGTGTTTTGGGGTGATTTTTCAGAGTTTTCTAACCTTTAGTAGCTACCAGCAGTACATTGTTATTGAGATCTGATGTATAGAAAGCTCACCGATATGTTTCTACTATTTTATACAGTATATATGATTCAGGTGGTTTTAAAGATGTGACAAACAGTCCATGTAACTGCCTTCATTGTCTAAATACTGGAAAAAATCAAATGATAATGTGATTATTTTTACCTTCTCTATTTCCATAAATGCAAGTGAAAATAAAGAAGTCTGCATCTTATTTATAGTGTATTGTATTTTTTTATGTTAGTTTTAATACAGTATTATACTTAACATCAGTCTGTGTAAATAAATAGTCAACACTTTGTTTCTTGAAACTGTTATCACTCCATGTAGACTTTTAAATGTGATTCATTTGAGCTCTTAATTTAAAGTTGTTCTTAATTCAGACAAATATATACACACAATGGTAAATACATATATGCACACTCTTGTATCTGGGGTCCGTCTAGCAGCAAAGTCAATTTAATTCAGTCCAACCTTCTTCCCTGTAACCTGCACAGTGACTTTACATCTCTGCTCCATCCAACACTCCACTCACAGAATAGACTATCAGTCGTACTGCTCATCTTACACGGCACTCGAGCAATGAGAAAGCCTGCTCAGCTGTTCTTCCATTATCCGATTATCTTGAGCCCCACCTGTGTGTGAACTCAGCAGACCGGTGTTTTCCTTTCTGTGTTTTCTTGCTATCACTTGCATGTAAAGACTAATTCCTGCCACTGACTTACGTGAACTGCTAGTCATTTGTTATGAAACCGCCTTGAAGCCATTAACTAAGTGTGTGGTTGATTATTACAGGAGACAATTACAGTGGCTTTCCTGTAGTGTAATCTCTCAGTAAGGCGTGGGGCTCACCTAATGTGCCAGTATCTGTGTCTAGTGTGTCTGCGCACAGGCAAATAAAGGGTGTCAAATTTTGAAACTGACACGGCTCTCTGCCGGTCAAGTAATATCAAACAATGGATGAATAAATCAGGCCATAGCCAAAGATAGAAATATGATACTCAGACGGAGAAGTTGAGTTTATCAGTAAAGATAAAAACAGGCAAAAAACAGAAGATGCATTTTGTGTATCTGCTATAACTCCTCTACTAGAGATACAGACTCCATCACAGGATTATTCTGAATAATTGATTGAAATAAATCTATGCAACCATTTGATATCTGCATCAAAATGATTTTTTTTATGATTCACAGACTGTCAAGCATTAATTAAAAAGGTTCTCTCATCCCTATAAAGCTTAAGTAAAGTCACATCAAAATCCACAATGCTGACCCCAGAGGTCATACGTAACATGAGACAACCGTCTACTACCTGTCAACACTGCTGCCATGGCAACAGCCCCCCTGACCCACTTGTGAGTCATCCATTTTCTGTGACACAGAAACAAACTGGTCTGACTAGTTGACTGGGATCTTATTTCTTATTACTGTTCATAACACGGTACAGAAAGCTATTTAAAACTTGGCTTGTTAAAATGAATTTAGCCATAAAGTGGATAAATAATTTTATTTGAGCCATTCAGCAGAAACTGTAGAATTTTAACTGTTAGGTTAAAAATTCTGGTTTACAATCAGCAGCAGTAAAATACATGAGACGTTAAATATTACAGTAGCTTTGAGTCTCACAGTGCACGAATCACAGGTTTTTAGGTACAGTGCAAGAATACAAGGATAGTAGCATACTGTAGGTAGCATTTTGTTCAACATGAGCATTAAAAATGTGATTTAAAACACACTAACTGACTTATAACGTCCACAATAAGAGCGGACTGTATACATTTCTGGTTAGCAGTGGTTATAAAAATTCAGTATTTACTATATACTGTATGTGATCAATAACAGTGTATAAAACATTTGAAGTCACAGGCAGGTGACACTGAGATCTGTTACATTTAAAGTCTTTTCAAATCGCCTCATTGTGGATTTGAGACTTGCTTTTTTTGCGCTTCACCTTACCATTGGAGACCGGGACATCCAACGACTCCAGGCGGAAGGGCCGTGAGCTGATGGGTGGGTTCATGGTAGGACCGCTCACAGTGAGGTGGGCCGCCCCGTTAACCAAGGGTGGAGAGTGGATGGCTGGAAGAGGAAAGCTCCATCAGACGAGTAAATGTAAATTGACATTGTTAGTATTTTGTGTGAAAGTGAAATCTTTCTTTGTGAATATGGATGCTGGACTATCATTGACCTTTTTTTTGTGTGTGTGTTTTTTTTAAAACGACATAATCTTTTTATATAGATTAAAGATATAGATATATCAACTGTTCAGTGTGTCTTTTTTTTTAAAAAAACTTAAACTTTCTAAACTTTCTCCAGTTGAAACCTCATTACTTTTGTCACATTGTTAAATTTTTTATGATAGTAGCTTGATTGACTTCTCCGCCTCAAAGAACAGACACTTCAGAATCTAAAGTAAAGACCAGAAACATACTAAATGATGACAACCTGCAGATGTACCACTATGAGGATGAAGAGACATCATTAGAGCCTATTAGCTATTAATAGTGCTCTCTAGAGATCTGCAGGTCTTAGTCTCACCGTGTCCCTTGGTAGCTTCACGTCCCAGCAGTTGGTTCGCTCTCTTTGGCTTGAAGTAGCTGCTGGCGATGTTCTCACTGTCACTACGATCAAGCATTTCCTTGTACCTGTCCCCTTCCACCTGCCAAAAGCACACAGGGATAAGGCTCTCAGTGTTTCAATGTATGTGTCTAGAAGATACGTAGAAACATGAACACATAAAACCCACTATGAATGGCTCTCCAGCGTCAGCAGCTGAAGCTCTGCGAGTTGCAAGTCTTGGAGCCACTGCTATGAGAGAGAAAGAGAGTGAGACAGTATTAATGAATAGGACTTACAGTCTCGAAAGCTACATCGTTAATAAAAACTGATAAGCTTTTACTGTAAGCCTATTTTCTATATGCCCTCTTCACACGTTGCACCTGAAGGCAGCGTTGTTTTCTGCACCATCACATCCGGCAGCCTCCAGGTGGCGCTGTCCTCGTCCCAGACAGCTTCCTTCTTCAAGCGGTCCAGGTTGCTGTAGTTGCAGTCACGGCGCACCAGGGGCACCATGCGCTCCAGCAGGCTGTGCAGTAACTGACCCTCCCTCTCCAGCCGCCGGATTGTTGCCAGGTAGTCATTCCTCTCCACCTCGAACTCTGCCTGCAGGTCACGGATCTCCAGTTTGGCTGCTTTCAGCTGTCACAACAGGTGGATGCGGTTTTATGGTTGAATGCAGAACACATGATTCAGCACTGAAAGCATAGAGACTCGGAGGGATCATTTTGTGCTAACCTTGTAAGATTCTTGGTGCTAAGTAAACACTCATTTATGTGGTATTTTGTACTGAACAGTCTGAACTCAGGCGGTTTTGATGTGCATAAAATAGGTTTTACTCTCCAAATCAGAGAATCCAGGAAGGAGACAGGAGTTAATGAAAGAAAAAAGGTTTTCACTTCTATGTCTACTAATAACAGGAGCAAATCACTGACAATTTTGGGCCTGTTTGGACTGAATCAAATCATCATTGAGTATACTTCCAGTCATTATCGTGTTTTTCCTGTCGATGTATTTGAATATTTTCAGAGCAGTGAAGATATTTTAGAGTGGACCAATTACATCAGAAAGATATTGCTTCAACATATTCCTTTGTTGTCACTGGCCAGATCCATTTTTGCTCCGAATCTTCTTGTACTGAATGAACCTTTGACCCACCTTTCCCTGGACCTTGACCAACAACTGGCTTTTGGCATGGACCTCTTCCTGGATGGAGTTGTAGACATTCAACAGCACATTTTCACTCTCCTCGCTGTTCTCTGACAGAGCACGGATTAGATGGACTTTTCTCTGGTCAGCGAGGTTCTTCCTCTGCCAGTGTCTCTGCTGTAACTCTTTGTTCCTGGCCTGCTCTCCTCCCACCACTTCCTGTTCCAGCTGCTGCAGTCTGGGGATGGAGAGATGGATGAATAGGAACGCTGCATAGAGATCACAAAGTACATAACAACAAGCACTTGAGCGGCATATTGCCCCATCAAAATGATTATATCAAACATAATCTGCTACATTAATTAAATAATAATCTAAATAATGCATTAATAGGCAAATATTCCTTTGTCAGCATACCTGCATTGTCATAACCTACATGCAGTACTAATATACAGTATGAATTATGCAAATATTATACAATAGTCATTTCAATAAATTAAATTGTTATTGTGAAGCACAAGCAGTGGTTGATGGATGGTTCTGTTTGTCAAATGTTTGCCCACAAACCTTTCCAGGACGTGTTGCTGGTCCAGAGGCCCTTCAGTGTTGATGCCAGGTGAGTCTACAAGTCCGTCTCCATCTGGACCTATTTGGACACCAACTGCTGCGCAGGGTACAGCTGCCTGGCTCACCAACATGAGGAAATAATACAAAGTAAGTTTCTAACAACGCTTCATGCCAGCAAATGTGACATGTTTTGAATGATTTAATGGTTAACGGTGGAAGAGTACCTTGGTCAGAGAAGTGTCTCCAGCTGTACTGTGGCACATGGGATCAGTGTTATGGCAGACCTCTTCCTCAGCAACCTTTGTCATACAGCTAGAGCTCACTGATGCTAGGAGGCAAAACAATACAAAGTCAGTACACAGGGAGTGGACACAATAACAAGAACCTTTGATAAACACACAGTCTGATACAACAAATGTTCAGTTTTGTTCAGACTTGTCAGAAATGTTGATTTTAACACAATGACAAGCACCGAAACCAGTTTATTAACAACTTACAAGGTTCTTTGTTGTGGACAGAAGATTTTCCGTAACCATTCTTTAGGACAGAGCTCCCCCTGCTGGTTCGGGCCTTTTCCAGATTAGACAGCTTGGATTCATAGGAGGAACACAGGGCAGCAATGTCCTCCTGCAGCTTTGCTTTGGATTCCTGCTCTGCATTGTACTCAGCTTGCAACTTGGCCAGCCTCTCTTCATACTCCTGTGGAGGGAGCAGAATACGGACTCATAAATCACCTGGTTCTTATATAATGCATGGGGAGAAGCGAGGTGATATATTGGTGTGGGAACATCCTGTAGTTGCCTCTTTAATCTTATCCTTCTCTGCTTCTGTGGTGCTGGACTGTGGCCTTGAAAGAACAGCAGGGGATGCTTCAAACAACTGACCAGCCAGCAGAGCTGCATGATAAATAAAAGCAAACATGTGAGTTTTTCTTTTTTAGCAAGACAGGTAAAAATCATTAAACAAAGAAGCAAATGCAAATGAAATATATCTCAATAGCTACATTTAAATCCTCTTCAAATAAAAAGATGTTGTGTCCTTATATCAACAGAATATATAATTTACATGCAAGGTCAGCAGTGCCCAGCTGGCCTGAGACGAGGGCCCGCAACTTCTTGATCTCCTCCTGATACTCTCGGAGCAGAGCATCCTTGGGGTCCTCGTTGATACGAGGCCTGTTCTGGATGCTCTTGGCCCGGTTGGCATAGCGAAGCGTGCTCAGGCTTTCCTCGTAGTTGTTGTCCGCAGGGGAGAGACAGGCGATCATCAACGTGCGCGTGTTTCCTCCCAGGGAGTCCTGCAGCAGTCTGGTCAGCTTGGAGTCACGGTAGGGGATGTACTTGGAGCGTCCGTCCACCAGGGCAGAGATGACGTTCCCCAGGGCCGAGAGGGAGAGGTTGATCTTGGTGGCCTCGCGGAGCCGCTCGCCGGTGGCTCCGGTTTTAGACTGGCGCTCACTTCCTGCCAGGTCAACAAGGTTGAGTTTCCCTGCTCGTAGATGATCCTGGCCGGCTGCATCTGAGAATTTGGAGTGACAAAAGGGAATGTAGAGAGAATACAACTTTAAAGTTTGTCTGTTCCTTTAAGCTAAATAGCTACTGGCAATGCCCCTTGTATTTCTATTATAGGTCTATTATTAATGTATTTTAGCTTGTTGATAGTTTCAATGCAGAGGCAGCTGGTCAGGTTTATTATTCACTAGTTCTCTGTGCAATATTCCTGTTGTGTTTTTTTTTTATACTTTTAGCCAGAATTTTTGATTCTCACACAGATTTTATTTATTTTGTTTTTCTATTTCTTAATAATTTTATATCTAATTAGAATTGCCATCGTCTCACAATAAAGCACTTTGGTTTTGTTTGTTAATATGCTCCATAAATAAAAAGGACCTGACTTGACTATTAAATTGTTTAGCTGTGTTTTTTTTCTTATTCTGTGTATAACTGACCATCGTTTTTGCACCAAACATTTAAAATAATACAAGGAAAGATCAATGACACACTAAAGCGTAACAGCTTGTTGATGTCAGAAGGCGTAACTGTTCTTTAACATCAAGCTGCTGGCGACGTTATGGAGATGTAATAGCATCACAAAGCTCCTAGAAGCACAGGTTTAAAGATAAAAATGCCTTTATCAGACATTAAACAGATATGTTTCAGCAGGTTACAGGTATTGTGTCACTGTGTGTGTGTTCACCTGTGCTGCAGATCTCCAGATGGATGCTGAAGATGGAGTGTGAGCGGGAGGAGTCTTTGTTCATCAGTGTGTAGCCCACTGCCCGGTTCTTCCAGCCTTGCTCTATGATTCTCTCGCACTCCCCCACACTGTGCACAGTGTGCATGGAGAGGTCCCGCACATACACCCCACGCTCTGGATGCTCTTTCAGCTAAGCATTCATCAGCCACACATAAAGCACATTAAATCCAAATCTGTCACTTGTTCAAACACCTTGACCTTCAAGGAAACATGTAACCACTGTGCTTTTTAGTCACCGTGGGAACTTGGCACAGTATTAGTACGAAACAAAACTGGCACAGGATTGTGCTGACTGTAAGAGAATAGTCTGAGAAACTGGTTTCATAATGACTGTACAATAATCCTTTTGGTTCTCTTATGCCACACAATATAGTCCGATTTGTTTATTAAAATAACAGTGCTCACCTCCAATCTCTGTTTGGTGTCACTTCCCAAAAGGTCTCTGATTTCTTCATTGTAAATCTCCAAGTAGGAGGCCCGCACCAGGAATTTTGTATTTTCTGCACACTAGCTTGCAAACAAAATCACATACACACACTCACACACAATTATTCTCTTTGAGAATACAAAGCTAAGATAAGAGACTAGAAAAGATAAAATGTATAGTTACACACTGATTTCATGCAATTGTTTTTTTTGCATAAGACCAATATGTTAACAACAGTTACCCTAACTGACCTGAATACTCTCAAAGATGTGCTCAAAGGCTCGTGGAATGACCCCCCTCTGGGCCGCAGGCTCGGACACTCCCTGCATGGTGAAAGACTTCCCACTTCCGGTCTGTCCATAGGCAAAAATTGTGCCATTGTATCCCTCAGTGACACCCTGTAAAAAAAAAAATATAAATAAACAAATGTGGCACGTGTGACCTTTTGCATGAGGCACCCTGCTGACCTTTCTGAGTAACTGACAGCAGACTGTTAAGTAAATAATGAGGTCTGCAGTCATTAGCAATAAGATATAGTCTACTGTTGTTAGACTGGGGGGGGGTGTCCAGTGACCTGTGTGTTACTTATATAATGCCTGGATCTCCATACTGTTGCTGTGCATTGGCAAATTAGGTTTAAACATCATGATCTTGGCGGATACTGGGACTGTGGGAAGAAAAAAAAAAAAAAAAAAACACACAATCTAAAATGGTTCCTGGAGCTTACCTCAACCAGAGGATAGGCAATCTCATTGTACATCTGCTCAGTGGTTTGATCAATGAAGTAGGTCCCATCAAAGGTGAACTGTTTGGGTGGCTCGTCCGCTGCTCCGGGCTTCTCTATGAAGCACTGGCACCGGTGCAGGTCCATGAACATCACCATCTTAGAGCAGAGAGCCTTCTCCCTTTCATTCAGGGGCCTGCACCTGACCACCACCTTCACAGACTCAGAGCCCATGTCTCTACATTCACTCTAACACAGATAACACATAGAAGAGAGGAATAATGTCCAGTTCTGCTTTATAAATAACGTTACATGTCTACAGAACCTGGATATGAGCAGCTTTACCCGGCTGACTGACAGCTCACATCCTGGTTACAGTCCACTGAGAGGAGGTGACCAGAGAATATCAAACAGCAGGTGATAAAATACTCAAAAAGAACATTTAAAAATAAATAAATAACAACAACAACAAAAAAAACTAAAATATAACTAAACTAAATATAACTAAAAACGTTGGTAAGTCTTCGTCAGGTCGGCTGTCGTCCTGCTGCTCCTCTCACGGCGGTTTTCATGTTGCCTAGCAACCACAAACAATCGTTGAGGGACGTAACGGTTCCCGGACCAGCGGCCATTTTGAGGAGGAGGGAGTGCGGTCAAAGCAATGGAGTGAAAGTGGTATTATGTTTTTATATCTTTACATATTAATACACAATGTTTTGTATATGTTTGTTTTTTTATTATTGTTCAGCGAGAAAGAAAACAACCCTTCCTAGCTAAGCCTGAGGTGAGTTGTATTTAGTAATTCGATATCTTTAACATTACACTTGGTTACACGTATTTTAATTAGCCTGTTGTGTCCTTGTGGGTGTTTATTTATTTATTTATAGTGCCATGAAAAACCTTTTTTTAAAAAAAAATGCCTCAAAACATTTAGAGCTAGAATTAAGCTAACTGCTAAGTGGCAGTAAAGTTACACACTGGATGTTTTTCTGTTGCCTTCACAGAGGAATACATGTTAAACTATACAACAAATTATTGCACTAGGGTAATTATTTATGCCAGGGAGGGAAAATAAAAATATATTTAACAAATGCCGGTTTATTAGGTACACATAGCTAAAACTAACGCAGTCTAAAACAGTGATCATCCTCCAATATGATCTCTTTAAACACTGCAATTGGTCTACCTAATATACTGGCAACTGAGTGCATTTGTTAACTTCTTGTTAAAAACATACATTAAAAAAAAAGCAATTCTATGTAGAGTCCTGCCCTAAGATTTAGAAACTGAACAGTAAAAGTTTCATGAGAATAATAGCAGCTTTCTCAATACCAAAACTACAAGTGACGCTGTGCCATTCAGAGTCAAATGAAACACAAAAGGAAAACAACGTTTCTGCAGGGATCAAAACAGAACACGCCTGTAATTTAATCTCAAACAAGGATGAACAATATGAAGATTATTTGTTGGCCGAATGTGGAAAAGATGGTAGAAAGGTGCTCAGATTATTAATTATTAATTAAAATGCAGCCTCTTGGAACAGAACAAAAGAAAGACGTATAAAGTCTTATAAAAACCAAAAACCCAAGGGCCAATCCAATTTCATACCATGGTGAAAAATCAGTGTACAAGATATATATTTACCTGTACACAACATTACCTGTTAGACAGTTGCTGCCTTCAAATGGACCTCGTAAGCTCAACTCCATTTGAAGCCAGCAACAAAAAACAAACAAACATAACAATGAGTTAGTCTGACAGCACACAAACTTTAAAACAAAAATTGTAAACACAGCCGACCCCATGATATACAAACACACTAATAACGGAAGATATAGAAAATATTTGGTGTAATATGTTCTTACACCACGACACAGTTGTGTTTGGTATTACTGCTTATACAATCTCCGGGTCTGATGTCTAAAACACACAAACAGTGATAAGGTAAGCAGGATTCAAATGCGACGAAACAATAAACTTTGATCAAATATATTTGTGCAACATCTTCACAATGAAACAATGTGTGTGCACAGTTTCAGGGTCGTTAGTTAAACATCTTAAAAAACACTAATAAAATTGACTGATGCCTTAAAGGCACACATAAAAACAACATAAAAAGCAGCAAGCACAAAATATTACATTTTGACCAATAGGTACCCTTTGATAAAAATGACTTGTATACTATGTACATTAAGTGCCAACACTGTTATAGGTGCATTATGTTTGTGAAACCTCCCACACAACACCAGTTGTGATTTAAGAGATGATACATGTGCAAAGAGAAAAGAAAAAGAAAAGGGTGTCACTTTTAAAGGTTGGCAGTCCACAAGTTCCAGTGTCCAGGGTTTAGACCCACTCCCTTCTGTGGGTACTTTTAATTTTGGCTTTCGTCAGGCTCTTGTGAGGCTTTACAGCCGGCTGTTTGCTGGTATTTTCCTCCCACTCATAACAGTGGTTTACCCGAGCACAGCTCAGCAGACACTGCAGCTCCTCCTGAGTCTCTGTGTAGTGTTCAATCAGCTCTGCTATGGAACCGAACTCAGTCTTGCATTTCTGCCACAAAGATAAACCAAATAAACACTGTTGAATTACACAAAATGATCAGTTTCCAATATATAAGTATAATCAAATGCAGTTAAAATGATTGTTTTGGAGCCATCTTATGACATATTGAACTATAAGTAAGTCCAAATACTTATATTTTACATTTTTTTTGGCATGAAAATAATTTCCTTTTCAGACTCAGACCCTCACATCCAATATTGGAGAGCTGCATGGCAAACTTTAGTTCTGATCAGATCCCAAAGCTTCTAAATATAACACTGAATTGCTTTAAATGTGGTCACGCAGCTCTAAAAAAAACCCCAAAAACTGTATCTTACATTTCTAATATTTCACTTGATACAAGTTTGATAAATTCTCATTAATTTAAATGAAAAAAGCAGACACAATATAAAGTATATACACATAAAAATGTACGTAAGATCAGACTTGAAGGGGATAATATTTGCGTGTCATATCATATATATTGTATACTGGTACAAACACCTTGTGTCTGTCTTGTATTATATCAATATTCTACATTAAGTTAAACATTACATTAAGCATTAAGTAACCAGTGGAACAGAAGTCAAACATACATTTCTGTGGAGGGAACTGTTTACTCTGTAATTCAGTCGACATTTTGTTTCCACCACAAACTTAAGTAAATATTATCCTGGCAGACTCACTGTTTGTACAATTATTATGTACAAGATTCAACGTGCCTCAACAAAACAATTACCTCCAGGTGGAATTTCCCTTTACGAGTGTTTTCTATGAGGTGTGTGACCAGGCCAGAGGGGAAGCGAATGATGAGAGAACCACATTTGGGTTTTTTAGGATGCGGACACAGGAGGTACGATCCCAGAACGTCGTCTGCAAGCAGGGAATAGCTGCTGTCACTGAAATACAGAAGAGAAGACGGAGACAAAATAAGAACTAGAGAAGGCATCCAGGCGTCAGCAAAGTATATGAAATGCACAAGTAACACTCACGTTGCGATACCAGCCCAACACCACACTGCTTGAGCCAGTGCTTCTTCTGTTTCGGCCAAGCTCGGAGCGCGGGATCTCCTCGCTGACGTCTTGTTTTGGTCCTTTTCTGTTTGATAGATAAGAAGAGAAATCATTGGGAATTTTGGAGATTTCAAAAATGTGCAAAAGTGGAGTCCCAGCTCAGTGGAGGAAATGTTTGGTTTAAACGTAACAGGCCTGAGATGAACAAAGCAAGTGGTGATTAAATAACCCATAAAGCCAATGTTTGTGTTTTTAACATATTTCAGCTAATTAGTGAAATAGACACCAGTGAGAGAAGCTCAGCAGTGAGAAGCTTAAAGAAAATGTGTGTACAGTAGGACCCACGTGAGACAAAAACCATTACCTATAAAAATTACTACCTTTTAACACCACAGCAGACAGTGAGGGACTGCCCATCACCTGATACTGAGGGGGTTTGCGTTTACCTAATAAACTCTCTGACTCTTGAAAGCGCTCTGTGAACACTTGGCCCACCTTGTGACTCGCTCAGTCGCTCCTGAACGCTGCGCTGTTTGAGTGGCGTGAAGGTGAAGGAGCGGTAAGCCCCAGAGCGCAGCGCTTTGGTGCGGATGGCCTTCTTGCGCACCAGTGATGGGGAGGAGGTGGGGAAGACTTCATCTTGGCTGCTGACTGGGTCATCAAAAGACTTTTGATTCTTCTTCTATAGATGGAGGGGGGGGGAAACAAAATGTTTGAATACAGAAGTGTTTATTCTCAGATGGCCAAAAACTCTTGTTTGTTTTCTCTTCTTCAACCTCATGGACCCCTAAAGTCGACAGCAGTTAGCTGGTTTAGGGCCAGGGACCGCAGTTCCCTAGTAGTGAATTACAACCCTTAAACGGTCCCTCCATCCATTAACACAAATTCAACGAAACCTTGCCAATTCTGTGCGACAATTTTCACTTTCTCCTGCAATTTAAATGGCAAAAAGAAGAAGAAAAGACACTCAAAAAGACTCAAAACATTGCAACATGCATTACAATCAGGCCTTAAGGGACTAACTAGAAGAGAAAGACTAGGCTTAAAATAATAATATTATGTTGTAACGGGCAATAGAGAAGACGTTCAAGTCCAAACCTTAGTCCCCGGCAACCACCCTCGAAAAGGGGCTCTTCTGAAGGACACCAGGGCGCTGACACTGAGAGGGAAGCCGTGGTTGAGCAGGGAGGGGTTACGACGAGGCGTTGAGCCAGCGGAGTCCTCCTGGGCCTCCTCTGGGTGCTTCTCCAAGTAAGACAGCTGGAAACAGCGGCACAGCAGCAGGTTCAGGAACTGTGCCTACGGGGAGAGAACGGGGACACTTGTATCCAAATGGTGATGTCTAATTGTTGGCTGAGTGACAATGATAGCCAGTTTAAAGTTACTTTAACTGACATAAATACAGTTACAGTGTCAAAGTGAAGAGGTAATATATCTCAAAACAAAACAATGTTGTTGTAGTGATCGATTTCTCTTTCCCGGAGCCGTTTACCGGCTGAAGGAGAACTCAGTTTATTTTTTTAAACTCTTGGGATTAAAAAGTGGATTTATCTTACTCTCGCTCCTCAACCGATCTCCTCTTTTACTGTGTAATTAATCTAAAAAGTAACTATCTAAAAAACACCTGTGTGGGTGTACAGTAAAAAATATTTCAAAGCAAAGTTCATTTGAGCTAAAAAAATATAATAAAAAGTATAATTTTTGTAATCAGAGCTGTAACTTTCTCTCCAAGTCACAGTAGACTCCTTTGTTGTAATAAAAAGAACAATGCACCCGGGTCATGTCTTACTGCTCTGGCGTGTCTAGCTTGAAAGACATGGCAGTACAGCTGGGCGTCGGTGCTGCCTGGGTTGTGGGAGACAAAGGCGAACTGGGCGTCGATGGGCCGGGCCGTGGACAGGGAGACTCTACGCAGGGCATGAGCCATCAGTAGTGTCTGCGGACGAGAGACACAAGGACTACTGAAACTACATCTTCAACTTAAAATTAATAACAACACCCAAGATCAAGCTTTGAGCATTTAATTCGAGATAAACAACCATACTTACAGTTTCATCCTCATTGTACATTTTCACACCTTTGATGGAGAATTTTATGGATACAGATCTCCTCCTTTTGCACGTCTGATTGAAGACAACCAACATATTTAAGTAACGTACTCTCCATTAAAATAAAAAAAAAAAAAAAAAAAAAAAAACAGTTTGCAAGTTAAACTTTGAGATACTGAGATACTTAAAAACCACCAGAAGGATCTGGACTCACTTTGAGGGACTTGAGCTGAGCGTGCAGTTGCTCTATCTGGTCATCCAAACAGTGGTCATCCACAGGAAATGAACCCACATACTTCAGAGCAAAGACATAAGATTAGGCAAACACACACACACACACAGAGTAATATAAAGATAAAATCACATTTCTAGAGTTACCTCTGCTGATCGTGTCACTGTGCCATCCTCACTGACTGGTGCCTCACCCATGATGGTGATGTTTATCTCTGCAAAACCACACAGCAAATACATCTTAAACCCAAAAGAAAACTAAAAAATAAGAACAAAACTAATTTTAAAAGGCTGTCAAATAAACAACTTAAAGTCAAACAATCACAAAAGTATTCCTATAGGAGGATTTAAAACTTTAATTTTACAGTAAAGTGTGAGTTTGGCATTGTGTTGTCGACTGTAAATCCACATTAACTACATTTAGGACTATTAACTCTGAGACTTTAGTAGAATTTGTGCCTGTTAACTGTTTGGTAAGTTGCGGCTTTAAAGGCATTTTTCACCGCCGTAAAATGCGTCAAAGTGAAAGCTACCACAGGAGAAAGTTTCCCTATCCGTCAGTGTCCCCGAGCTGTGTGAGTGAAGACAACATGACAGACTGTCGGTGGACAGAAACCTTTGAACCGTTTCCGGCCCCGGTGGCTCAACCTGAGCTCACTTCTTCTAGGTTGTAACAAAGGCTTTGAAATCACAGAAACTCACTTTCTCAGAGTCGGACAAGTCTCCACCTTCACCTCCTCTGCACGCCGTAATTGACACCGAGGTCCTGCTCACCTTTACCCGCTGCCGCTCCGTGGTCCAGGTGTGCTGCTGGCTCGAGGCGGGGCTCGAGAGGGAAAAGGGGCCCGGGTAGGAAGGAAGGAGGGTGTAAATGAACACCTCTCCTCCTCTTGAGCTATATGACAGTCAAGAAGGAGTTGAATCACTGCACCCTCCCCCTGCTGTCTCTAGCCACACATTCCTGCTCTTTGCGCAATACATCCCGGTGACGTCACACGCACAGCGGTGGGAACGTCACCGGATCAGCAACATCCCGAAATACTGCTGGAGTAACAGTACACAGGCACTGATGTATGGCCCACATCAGGGTTTAAAAAAAATGTAATCCGATTACTAATTATCTGTTAAACAGTGTAGTCTATAAAGTAATCCAAGTAATGTAACGTGAGTACTTAGAAATGTCATGTAAGTGTATTCTGTAAGACAACAGAACAATGTGATCAATGTGAAAAAGGAAATGGAAAGATATTTAGCATCAAACATGATATTAAAGAAAAACTGACGCATTTTAAAATTGTAATCCTGCAAAGTAATCCCCATTTTCACCAAATGTAATCTTATGAAGTCTTTTTTTTCTGCAGCAGTAATGGATTACCTTTACCTGCTGCCGCTCTGTGGCGCAGGTGTGTCTACCTTTTTAAAATTCTGATTACATCACTGAATAACATGTAATCCATTACTCCCCGCACCTGATATTGATGCACCAGCAGCATTTTGAAGGTGAAGCTAGTTTATCAGCTTTAGATACGGGTCGGTGGTTTAATCCAGTGTTTTCTAAAGGGTTAAGTTTAGTTATACTAAACTTTTCTAATCTTTACTTTTTTCCACCAACCAGACAATGTTATAATAACGATAATCACTAGTTTAAATAAATGTAATCTTAATACATTTACTTATTTTGTAACCATACAAACAGAAACTAGTAATTACAGCAGTTTTCAGGTTAACACATCCCATCTGTGGTTGGGTTTATTTTGTTAAGGACTTCTTTTCCTGAAAAACGTTGTCAGGAAGTGAAATAGTTAAATCAGGTGAATCATTGAAATCTTTTAATCATTTTCTAAATTCCTTTAAAAGCACATCTGCTGGTCCCAGAAACCCCCAGTCATTATACAATACCAGAGGAAACCCTCAAACTAATAACTAATGAATGATTAAGCTCAATAAAACACCTACTAATACTTTATGTTCTGTCCCCAGTAAACTAAATGATTAAAATAAAAAAAAAACAGCAAAAGTTTACAAATATAGCCATTTTATTAATGACTTGGAAAAAAAAAAAAAGCTTAACAACACAAGGAATACATGCATGCAGGGTATGTATGAGCTACTATCCTCCTTTTTCTTATTCACAACACACATTTCTTACAGTTTGGTACTGAATTACAGCTGTGAAGCAATAAAATCAATTAATGTCTTATGTTTGTTTTTTTTACACACACACACATCAAAAAGGACACTTTCCCCCCCCAATGTGACTTTGAAATGAATACTAACATAGTGTTTTATCCTCTGTTAAATCCTTAAAACCTGTCAACCTGCAGGCTTTATCTTTTTCTGGGGGCAATTTTTATGTTTTAAATAAAACAAAATATCAAAATCATTGTTAATTCATAATACTAATATAATTTTATGGAGGACAAATATGGATAAAAAAAAAAAAAATTCTGATTTAGATGCGGCCAAAATATTGTAATAATAACCTTAAAATCTGTGTTGTATAAAACATTAATATAGTAATCGTTTTAAATCTTTTTACCCATATTTTAAAACGTAAAACCTCATTTTCAACCCTCCAAAAAAAAACCAAAACACTGATATTAGGAACATGTGCTTCCAACACCTAAAGAACGGATGAGGAACAGATATAACAAACGGAAGTCACTACATGGCTCTAGTTACAGTATGTCGGATCTCGCTATGATTTCCTGATCTGGCAGCTGGTCACACATCTGTTTTTAAAACGGCAACGCTAACTGAGCTTTTCTACACATGGTGATTAAAAAGGAAAATTCAGAAACTCTCAATGTACATTAAACTTAACTGGTAGGATAACGTTCTTATTCTACAATTTAAAAAAAATTAAACAAAAACAAAACAAAAACTACTGCCCTGTTAAAAAGGGAGAAAATGATAAAAAGAGAGAGAGCACTGAAACAAAGCGGCAGACTGCTGCATATTCAGAGCAGGCCCAGTCCGTAGGAAGCCGCTCCTGGACTCAGTATTTCCCTCTCTTGGATTTACGAGTGGACTGCTTGCTGCTCTTCGCCCCCTTTTTGACTACAGGCTCTTCTTCGGGGGATGATTCTTCAGGCTCGGGCCGCCTCGACCCACTTTTGGTCGCTGGCTTTTTAACTGCAGGCTCCTCGTGCGACGACTCTTCGGACTTGGATCGCTTGGACCCGCTCCTCGTCGTCTCCTTCGTGACCTCTTCCTCCGGGGAGGACTCTCTGTACACGGGTCGCTTGGACCCCCTTTTGGTCAGCTTTTTAACAGCCGGCGTTTTGGGCTTTCTCGAGGGAGCTCCTCTCTTGACGGGCGTGGCTTTAGGTGGCGGTGTGGCTTCCTTCTTAGAGGCTGATGGTTTCCTTGCTGATCTCTTGGCTGAAGACACCGCTTTCTTTACCGGAGACTTCTTTGCGAGGGGCCGTCCTCTGGCTTTAGGTTTTGACCGACTAGCGCTCCGAGATTTCTTGGCCGGTGGAGGACGGCGAGCTTTGGGAGGAGGCCTCTTCTGAGATTTCCTAAGATAAATTTGAACAAGCAGCTGTTATTGGAGTAGAAGGAGCGAAATTATACACAAATCATTAGGATCAGTTGGATCTTCAATGTTTAAAACTGTTGTGGACATTAATACTCATCTTCTCTAGTGTGTCCGTGTGCAGGAGAAAACTCTCCCGTGTTACTAAGTACAGATCAAATTTACACCCACCTCCTACGGGAAGGAGCTTCGTCCTCAGACTCTTCCTCTTCTTCTGACTCTTCCTCTTCCTCATCAGAAGAGTCAGCTGTCCGCCTCTGCCTGGGTGGAGGCGGGCCTTTTTTCTTCTGAATCTCTTTGAACTTCTCTGGGTACAGGATGGTAGGACTTAAAAAAAAATAAAATAAAACAATAAGAAGGCAACATAAAGAAACCTGTATCAGCTGTGTAGGCCAACATCTGAATTAAAACTGAAATAAATTACAGTATTAAATGGTTAAATGATGGAAACAAATGTAGGTGGTATACCTCGGGTAGAAAGGGAACGAGAGCTGGTAGGTCCCTGTGAAGCCGTGACCCGTGATCTGCTCCATCCAGCCGAGTACTTTACACTTCGTCAGGGTCCTCCTGAGTTTGGCCACTAAAAGAAGAGAGTTCACCTTTTAGTAACAGACTCATCGTTCAGTGGATTTAAAGTTTATACTACAAAACAAATCCTTACAGTGACCAATTCTCTGAACTCCTTTTTTCTTTTTGGAATAATGTGACTAAATGTGTCCCCTGTCAGGCTTGTTAGTAGGTCTATAAGTGTATGTGTGTGTTGGTTTAGGCACATTCAACCACCCTGAAAACCCATTTTCACAATCAGCTATTATCAGGATGTTTGTCCTACAACTAATCTAATCAAACCACACCCACAACTTCAACTTTGACGGTTACACATTTAGTAATGAATATTTGGTGTTATGGAGACCAACGAACAAGCTAGAGATTAATCAAGATGTGTAAAAGCCAATGCAGTCGCCAAACCTCAACAGGATTATGTGCAGGGTTTAAAAAGGTCCAGTGTGAAACATTTAGGACGATCTATTGGCAGAAATTCAATATAATATTCATAGGCATGTTTTCATTCATTGTTGTGTTTTTGAGACCTTAGAATGAGCAGTTTTTAATCAAACACTGGCTCTAGGTAAGGCTGTTTGTGTTGCCCCCATAGTTTCTATCTTGCACTTGGAAAGGGAGAGTGAAGCAACTACACTGCTAGAGGCCACTAAATCCTACACACTGGTCCTTAAAGATTGAAGCTCGTGTGGAGCACATGTGTGAAGTTCATGTGCAAACAAATCTTAAACCACAAGTCTTCAAACAGAACTGAAGATACAGAATCACCACTTTCACTAACTGAATGAAGTGATGATCAATAAGTCGCTGCTGAGCTACAAACATGAGCTAACCTCCAGTTATTTAGCAAAACTACGAGTGAGAACGAGGGCGTCTTCTTACCTAATAGGTTCTCCCTTCCGTCCTTGTTAGCGTCTACTAGGTATTTGCGTAGAGTGGTGGTGCTGCAGGTTTTAGGTTCATTCATGGCTGTGATGGCGGCTGTGATGGCGTCCTCCAAGGCTCCGCCCTTCAGCAGGACCTGGTTACCGGTTCGCTTCAGCTGTGACAGTCAGAAACATTTATTTTAGAGAATCAGGTCAGCTGCCCTTCACTGAGTCATGTAGTCAGTGTGACAAAGAGAGAGTAGAACTATCATTATTGTTTACTGGCACTTATTTCCCCTTTTTTATTTTAATATTTCATAGAGAATATTACCTGGCAATAATTAAGTCTACTCAAATAGTTTAATACAGCAATGGTGCCCAAGGTGGCAGATTGATTGGCACTGTAGACCTTTATCTGGCCTGGAAACAAAGCAGATCCTGACAGAAATGCACAGATAATGTTGCCAATTGCTCCACACCAGAATTTGGAAAATGTGTAAATACAAAATGTAATAAAACAGTGTTTATAAAGAGTTTTACCTGGAAAGTCCCTCTGGCTCCTTTCCCAGTGATTTGTTCCAGTTGGCCTTTTTCTACTGCCTTTACCAGCGCTGCCTTCAGGACTTCTGGCCTGAGGACGAACCAGTCAGTAAATCATTCATACAGTCAATAATCCCAGTTAATGAAAAAACAAACACATGTTTTTGGATGTTTGTGAGCCACTGAAATCCAGATCAGTGGTAAAACTGTATGTCATCTATAAAGTAATAATTCTGACAACTTAACTTTACCACATTATTGCAGTTTTTGTTATTTAAATGTAGTTGTTTCAGTTTCAGTGAGCATCAATGATCTTTTAACTAAGATCAGGTTCTGATCAGGGATGGATTTATCTTCTATTATCAAGAAAAATATTAAACTTTTGCAGGTTACAGCCTCTCAAATGCAACAGGTTGCTTGCATCTACTCCATTTTATGTAATTAATAGTTCAATATTTGGGGTTTTTCCAGGTCAGATTGAGCTAATTGGAAACATATAACACTTTAAAAGACCAACAACATCAAACAACAACAGATGAATCAACAGGATAAAAGCGAACGTGAGGCTGTGTGTGTACCTGCTCTCGACGTTGAGACTGGGGAAGTGCTGCTCCAGGTATTTCTTGATCAGATTGTAGGAGGCCTCTTTGGGCTCACAGAGCCGAGTGATGATGAGAGGAAGAGCATCTCCCAGAGACTCTGTCTTCTGAGCAGCTTTCTAAAACACCATCCATTTACAGACATGACGATTACAACCAAACACATCCCAGTCTCATAGGGAAAAATGGGAGAAGGAAACTGTTGACACTAAGTCATTAACATAAGGATTAGATAATGTGCTAATGCTCTTTGCTTGCTGAGACTCAGATGAGAAGATCAATACCACGCTCATATTCAGTACCTCTACTATAAAGCTCATGGCTCCAACAATAACACAATCCCAGCAGCTCTAAAAGGAACCGATTAGCACGTTTTATCTACATACCTTAGACAATGGGGTCTGCTTCCCAATGGCGAAGGTTCCTGAAAGGCCTTTACCTTTCAGCTGAGTGAGAGACAAAGCAAAACAGAGAGTAAAAAGTACTGACAGATGTTAATGAATATTTGTGGTATAGAATATTTGCTGAGCGTCACATAGCGTAGCAACCACAGGCAAAGCAGGCCTCCGAAAGTTGAAGCAGTGTGCATGAGGCTTCGAGAGCGATACTCAACATCTGAAGAGTTTGCTGTATTTTTTTTTTTTATAGTCTTTCCAAAACTAAAAATATGGAGGCATGAAGTAAAGGATTAAACTGTTCATTCGTCTACTCAAACACAAGCTGCAAACATTAGCTGACAACCTACAGTACTGATCTAACCTAGCTTTTACTTCCGAGGCCAAGCAGCATTTCAAAGGTACATTATTTTGTGTGGTTGCAGGTTACGATGAAGAAAGACTAGCACATCCTCGGGGATGTTGCCGAGTGGTGTGAGGAGCACTCTGAGGAACCTGAACCCGACCAACACACCCTCTGTGGAGGTGGTCACCCATATCTCTCGCAGAGGTCACTGAGGTAGTGAAGAAGCTCCTTGGTGCTCACAAAAGGCTGCTTTCTTATAACTTTATTTAAGTTACATATTCTTTTACACATTAAATAATTATCAACCGACTGTAGTCGACATTACTGAGAGCTGCTTCCTCTCTCTTTCTCTGTGCTCAGAGAAATCAGTTCTTTACCTGTTTGATGGTGCCCTTCTCCAAATGTTTCTTCAAAGACTTCTTGATGAGAAACTTCTTCTTGTCGAGCTCCATCACCGGGTATTTCTTCACAATATATTTCATGACGGACTGATATGAAACCCCAGACCTGTCGTTACAAGACTGCAAAGAAAGTGGACAGGAAATCAAACCCATTGTTTGTTTTTGTTTTTTACAACAAACAAAAAAAAAGGATTAAAACCAAGCACACGTGACTGACTGTACACACCGTAATAGCTTCGATGAGGATATTATCCACTTTGTTTTGAGTGCCTGCATAGTTGGTAACGGGAACCTTTTTGCTGGCAGTGACGCTAGCCCACGCAGGAATCGTCCGTTTCACCTTCTTGACTTTGGCTTTCTCGTACTTGTAGCCATCCTTCAACCTGTCACCGAAAAGGAGCAAGACACAAGTTCAGTGAAGTGGGTCGGGTTCTTTAGAAGCGATATTTCACTGTGATCGTTACCACCCTTATCTTTATCACATCCTCACCTTAGTAGGAGAACATAGCAGTGTGTTGCACACTGTCCAGCCGCGCAGTCCTTGCATTTGTCACTTTGTCCGTTTGTCGCCGACGGAAAAAGACAAAATTAAGTTTCAGAACATCTGTCTTAATGATCACCATGGTAATTTGACCCTGACTGAGCTGCTGTGCTAGTGTACTATATGCAGGAAAGTAAACGTTTGCTTTGTCAAGGTCTGGGAGAAGGAGAGGAGGAGAAATAAAAGTTATTAAATTTGGAAAGCCAGGTCACATGTCCCTTATACTTTTGGGCAAAACCAACATATTTCTCCACATTACTCTGAGTGTGTCCAGTAGATAATGCTGCTCTTTCCTTAAGTTTATCAGAAATGGACTGAACTGTTTACAAATTGTTTTCATGACGCTCACGTGCTCTCCTCCTGGACTCCTCCAAGACTGCGGACAAAAGGGAGGGCCGGCACATCTGTCTAATCACTATCTCATGAATGTGCCCGTGACAGGGTCACATCTTTTGGAAATGCAAAACTGCAACACTGAGAGGAGCAGTCTGTTGTTATCCAGCAGAGGTAAGGATCATAGAAACAGATAAAAGTGCTATCAAAGTGAAATATCGCAGTGGTCAGAGTTGCGGACAAGCTCTCTGGTGAAACTCACTCTTTCTTCTCTGTCCCTTCTCCTCCCTTCTCCTCCGCCGCCGCTCCCTCGGCCTCCTCTCCGTTCTCTGTGGGCTCCGGCTCGACCGTGGACTCGCCTTCCTCGACCTCGGCTGCCGGAGCCGAAGACGCGGCCTGCTCCTCGTCAGCAGAGGGCGACTCCTCTGAGGAGGCTTCAGGCTCTGTGAGGAGAAAGAGATTTAAATTCAAGAAAGAAAGGAAAGAAAAAGGTGCAATAATCCTGAGAATATCAAAGTTAAAAGTGGATGATGCTAATTTCTTGTTCAAGCTTGTGAAATCATAACAACCTACAACATCTACATTAAATGACTCTATAAAAAGGAGGACACGTTAATTAGTATGGGTATTATTCAAAGTATCATTAAATAATTTGAACAAATGTCGCACAATGTGAGCAATTTAGCAAGTTTGGAGCAAGCAAAAACAAACCCCAGAATAAACATTAGCAGCAACAACGTGCAACAGAAACTGAACTGGGGGTGTTAATATTTAATGATACGCACCTCAACCACTGAGCTACCAGGGTGCATCTTCACTGAGAGCCTAAAGGTCGATGCTACTGATACACTTATGTTGTGATTTCCATACTGTGGCGCTCTATTTGGCCTTGTGACTGCAGATTGGCCTTATCGCCGGAGTGAGGCTTGCACTCTACTTTATCAATGTGTTGATGTTCTTTCCTCCTTAAAAGGGCCTAAATGTGCACTATTATAAACTTATTTCACCCTGCTCGTCCCTAATATCCCCGTTATGTTACCCAAGTCTGCATCCAAGTACCAAAACACATCGCAGTGTTGCATTCAATCACTGTTTCTCAGGTCTGCAGGCTAGTTTCAGTGATGAAGAGGGTTGTATATACACACACACACACACAGCATACAAACTGGCTGTGTGGTGCTGTTACGGGCCACATCTGAGTCAGTGTGATGGTGGTGCGTTCACGGGTCTTTCAGGTAAGGACCCTGGTCTAACCTTTCTCTGCTGCAGCGGAGGGGGCCTTCTCCGGGGTCGGAGTCGCTGCTGCTCGGCGAATCGGCATCACACGAGATTTAACGTTACCTGCAGGAGGGAGGAGGAGGAGGAGGAGGATGATGAAGAGGGGGGCAAAAGAAACACGTATCTGAAGACCAGGAAAGCACATTGGCACAGCACTGGTTTGAGGCCCATCCTCTCTGCATGTGCGTGGTTAGAAATGGCGAGAGTGCCAAACCCACTTCATTCATTTGGGGGGGCCCCATTATGTCCAAACAGGAGAAAAGGGTGCACTTGGATTTAGCTAAACGCAGACCACCTTCCAGGCGGCGCACCGCTCTCTGGTTTATCCGCCGGCCTTTCGCCTGTAAATCGCGGTCGTATCCATGCGAGCAGTAACACGGGGGGGGAAGACGGAATTTTTCGGCAATTTCGCCATTTTGTCAGTTGGCTGTTTCGCACAGTAATGGCGTCGCACAAGGCAGATAAAATTCATTTCAGTTGCATGGAGTAAAAAAAACAAAAAACAAAAAAAAACAAAAACACCCCCACCGGTCTACGTTTCTTTTCCAACATCGCATCCGTGCAACTGCATGTTCGGACAATAACGCGACAGAATGCGGGTCAAACTTACCTTTAACTTGTCCTGAAAAAGTGAGTTACTTTCGAGTAAATTTCTGCACGATCCTTTATTTAGATTTCTCTGTTTACGAGCCCCGCCCCATTAGGACCGTTGGTCACGTCGCCGCGTCACACAGCGTCAGAAGGATTCCCACCGTCACGGCCGTCGACACTCAGCCGTTGGAGCCGTTTTTCCCTCTTTCTGTAACATTCAAACTGTCATGGCCGTCGACGGTTAACGGCTGTAACTTTATTTGTCTTTGTCCTCGGTGGGATTCAAACTAGCGACAGAAACCACACACAACACAAGATGGGACTCAGTTATCGTGGTCGCTGCCGTTACCCGACCGAGGCTAGTGTGAAACAGGCTAGCTTGCAACCGGTTTTTTTTTTTTAAAACTTGATTTTAAAAATAAATAATTATACTGAGATTTTCTGTCAATATTTTTGAGTTAACTCGACGTCTTCTACCGTACAACTACACAGTGTTATGAGCGCACATTTTAAACCAAGATAATCCCTAATTATTACGGTGTAAGCGTTAAAAAACTACACTTCTGGAGAGGTTTTGGTAGCGTGTTGATGGCAAAGACTCATGGGAGCTGTAGTTGTACAGCAGGAGATAAACATTCAGCGGAAAATATAGTCAGAAAACATTTTTCAGCTTCCTGGAAAGAGTGAGAAAATAAACCAAACAACTAAAAGCTGTCCCTAAAAAAAGAAAAGAGACCTTATCCAATACAACACCGTATTTTGTGAGTCATATGGCCGATTCCTGTGGTAGTGTGTAGATTATTAAGGTTCTTTGTCTGCTCTTAATCACACCCCTGCTGTAGTTTATGACTAGTTGACCTCTGCCCCCTTTAAAGGCTGCAACTAACATGATTAATCTGCAGATTATTTCTCAATTATTTGATTAAGAGTCTATAAAATGTGTGAAAATGATTATAAATGCACGTCACAATCTCCTAAATCAAATTGCTTATTTTGTCAGAACAGTACAAAACCCAAAAGATACAATAAACGAAGCAGAAAATCTTAAAAAGCATGGCACGTTGGGTGACCTGATGTGACCACACAGATGAATATGAAGGCAGCTACACACAGGAATATTAAAAAGTGGTGAAATATGAGCAAGAAATAAACTTCTGCCACAATCTGAAAGCGGAGGCAACGATTGCGAGTCAGTTTATTAAATGATCTGTCGATGCTTCGATGACTCCAGTTGCTCCTCCTGGTCAAACCACACAGCTCGTCTTCGTCTTCTTCTGTGTTGTCCATGTCAGTTAAACACACACACACACACACACACAACACACACCATCAAAAAGAACAAATCATGAGCGTTTTTTTTTTTTTTTTTTAAATACCTTTTTTGTCTTTAATGTATTTACAAGCTTTATTCTGCTCTGTAGGTCTGAAGTATTACAAGCATGTCAATATCAGTGACCCGGGCCATTTGCTTTTTAAAGTTGCATTTTTTTGCTCATTTTCACTTTAATGTTTTCCAGGTTTGTTCGTCTGCGTTTGTTTTGACAGTTTCCGTGGACTGACTTGCATCGCTTCTTGAATGCATACCTCTCACCTCTCGACGAGGCGTATGTACATATCAACGTAGAGCAAGCCAAGGCTGGGGAAAACACTTCCCGGGTTATTATGAGATAACCTTTGACCTCAAAACGTCATACATGGACAACGTTAATAGCTTCTGTGCATCCACTCCTTTTTTTTTTTTCCCTCCCCACCCCCATTTTAAATCTGTGCTTCCCCTTCATCCCAAAATAATCTTGTTTTACCCTGTTTTAAACCAAACAGTACAGAATCCAGGGAGGCTATTTATTTCACAATTATTATTTTGTTATTATAATTAATTATATTGTTATTTCTGTTGTCATGTTCTCATTTTGTGAGCATCTGCAAATGTTAAATAACTTTCATATTTGCAGTCCTTAAAAAAATAATAAATTAAAGAGTCCAGAACCTATGTATCTTTTAAGTCTCTTCTTAAAAAGTAACAAAAAGAAAAAGTAAGTTAAAATTTAAAACAAAAATATTTTCTATGTATAATACAGGTATTTAGTGCTTCCGCCGTTGGAATCCAAACTCAAAATGGCGGCATGTTTCAGAACCGTACCGCAGAAAAAAATTCCAGCCGTAAACATGTCGTCCTGCCCACACACCCATTTTGAATGTTTGTTTGTTTGTTCTGCTGTAAGGATGCAGTTCTACTACGTCCTGTCCCCTGGGTGCCTCCCTCGTCAATTATCTTCCGACTCCTCCTCCGCCTCCCGCAGCCAGGTGAAGAAGGCCGTGACGGACTTGAGGGCCACACCCTTACCATGCTGCTCGGCAGGGTCTTTGCTCGTCTCCCACTTGTAGAAAGCGTCCTCCGAGATGACGTCCTCGTCATACAGACAGTCAAAGAACATCCGGAGGAGGTCTGGGAATTCATGGATAGAGAGAGAAGGTTTTTAAAGCGTATGGAATCATATTTTTAAGCAAATGAGGGTTAAAAATAAAGAATGCCACAAACAGATTTTCCTTTAAGGTGAGATGTGCTGCAGGCAGGTAACGTCTCATATCAACAGACTAAACTGGGTTTCTCTGTGAGTGACGAATGAATCTGACGGTACTTTCTGTGCTGCCGCAGTAACCCTCAACCATCTGTATTCCAGTTAATTAAAAAGCTGCAGTGGAGGCATCCCAGCAGGTCTCCAGATGCCCTCTGGAGGAGGCGTGGACAAAGGTTTTAAATCCGGGAGGTTCAGAAGAAGTACATTTCCTGAGGCTACTACTGAGTCTCTTAAAGAAGGCAAACAGCTTTTTTTCCCCCCAGCATATTTTAATTTGTTATTTCACTTGTAAATTGCACAGGTTTCGCACTGTGAAGGTCCAGTTTGTACGATTTACAGCAGTGAGGTTGCAGACTGCAACCAACTAAATAGCACTCCCTTCACCGTCCCATTTCCAGAACCTTTAGTGGCCACGAAACACTGCAAAAGGCCCTATGTACAGCCAGCGTTTGGTTTGTCTGTTCTGGGCTACTGTAGAAACATGGCGGTTCAATATGGTGGAAGAGGACCCGCTCCCTCTGTTGATGGAAAATACTCTTAAGTAAGGAAAACACGATTCTTATATAACGTTGATTATACACAAATGTAATATTGAATTTCTGCACATAGATCTTCTAAAATGATCCAAATAAAACACTGAAACACTAAACGTAGTAACGTTATTTTATATATGATTATTCAGTCCAACGTCACTGTTGGCTGACGGCTGACTGCAGTTCACTTAACGTCCACCGGTGTCACTATCAACAACAGTCGTGTAAAACCGGAAGTATAAATTCCCTGATAACAAATTTAAAAAAGAAAATGTAAAGAAGAAAGAGGAGTAAAATATGACGCAGCACTTACTTGGAGGCTGATCGAGGGCAACGATCAGCGCCTGAAGTGCATAAAGTGCTTGCAGCTGTCGCTCAGTGTCTGAGTTAAGGTACTTGAGTAATACAGGCAATCTCCTCTGGATGATGGCCGTGTCCACTCGACAGTTGGTGTTATCATCTGTTCGGTAGAGCAGAAGGAGAGTGAGCACGCTGAGCCTCCCCGCTCCGAGTTTTGGCAGAGAGCAAATACTGCAATTTTTATCAGAATAGAGGAATCCGTCCTCCAGGTGGTGGGAGTGCTTACCTTTCACTGCTGCCTTACACACAGCTGTCATCAAAGCTCTCAGGAAGGGAGACGAGCTCATCTGAGATTCATCTAGGTTTGCCTGGGGGAAAAAAAAAAAAAAAGGAGCGCAGAGGAGGACAAAAGACACGATTTATCAGTCTCACAAGAACAACCTTCAATAAGGAAACAAAAAGATGGGTTGATAAGTAGTGAAGGAAGCAGCGTGTTTGTGTTGAGGGTATTTGAGTGGGAGTGGGGGGCATTGGGGCAAGATTTTGCCTGAGCAGCCAAGGACAGCTGACACTATGTAGTATTTTTGGCTGCTCTCATCTTCCCAAACCTTCTGCCACCTTGCATCCTGCAGCTGCCCATTAAAATTCCCAGCACAGACGTCGGTGGACACTGCGGCAACGCACTTCCTGTCTGTCAGCACCTTAATAAGACCTTTCTGTCAACCCTCTCTCTCTGATTCAGTAACTAACCCGTTCCTTTGTCACACTTAATATTCCTGCCTGTAACAGGGTGTATGGATTTTAGCCCACTAGCTAGCAGAGTCTGGGTGATGGATTTCTCTTTCTGACAGATGTGTGCATACATGTTGTCACTTCTCATACCTCTACCCAGTCAAAGATCTGCTCGTCGCTGGCCATGTCCTCCAGGAGAAGTCTCTCCAGCTGCTGGCTCAGCTCCTCAGGAGACAAGATCCTTTTAGACAGAGCCGCCTCGGGGCTGGAGCCGTCCGACAGAACGAACTGGAGTTTCTGTTTTTTTTTTTTTTTTTTTAAATCAAGACGAGAGGACGGCGATATGATGAGGCAATGACATAGAGAGGAGGAGGAAGGATAGAGGAAGTGTATGTTGATATATCTTTAATAATAACCTGTTGTGAGATGAAAGCCTGGACGTCCTCTCCCGCTGGTAGGACGTCGGTCCAGTTGAGGCCAGATTCCCTCCACAAAGACCCTACAGTCCTATGGCTCTGTGGGGACAAGAGGAAGCAGCGTCACACCTCTCTTCTTTTAAATATTTAATCTATTTCTTCTGTCGGGTTTCCAGGGAGAAAGATTTTAACGAGCCAAAATTAGCTACAAATCACAAATAACCTTGTTGGTTTGATGTTGTTAATAATTATAGTAGTAAATCTATTTTAGTGCAACAATGGAAGTTAATTATTTTGTTGTGAATCATTGGACCAAATGTGAAAGAAGAGCATTTCTTTCTTATATCACCACCAATATAATCAAACCTTCAATAGACATTTAAGTGAGCTGTTGATTATACTGACTTTATAATGTGAGCAGGGAACATGAATGTATGCAGAAGAAATTCAAACAACTGAAGATGAAAGTGTTGCTTACCATTTGTTTGCATAGTATGTGCAGTATTTCAGAAATTAAGATCCCGGCTCTTCCCACAGGAAGCAAAGGTTTGCTTAATTCACTGTGAACAAACAGAGACGACAGAAATGAAATGTACATCTGCCCAGCTGTTTCCTTCATACAGGAGAACGGAGAAGTTAAAATAACTTGTATGCTACTTGAGATCTGGAGCCTGTTCACTATAATGTCTGAAACTAATCTCAGAAATGAGTTCATGCAGGAGGGACTGAAACTTGTGAGGCAGCAGACATGTAACAAAATGCTGTATTGTGGTAAACAAAGCAGAGCGAAGACTCGTTCCAAACCTGTGCACACTGAGGTGATCGAAGAAGATACACCACATGTGGTTGCAAGGCGGCCATTTTAACGGGGTAAACACACAAACAAATGTTACTTTGTTTTTAGTATATGGCCTCAGTGTCAGTACCTAAAGAGCTCTCTCATAGAGAAGCCCCCTTCCCTCAGCACGGGGCTGAGCAGCTCGGCCAGGTACAGCCAGATGTGGGGAATGTCGATGGCCATGTCGTCCGCTTGCTCCAGCGTGTCTGCAAACCTGAGGGAACAAAGAGACGCAGAGGATACAACTTAAAATGACTATATTTAATTTTCTCCTTCCCAATGCCGAATCCAAAACCTGAACTTTAAGTATCAGCTGGTATCGAAATAACTGGAGGTTGAGGGTCGGTTCAGATAGTTTATCAACTCTGTTAGGAAATATAGTAGCTCTGAAACAACCACATTGTTTGTATTTGGAAGTTCTTAAACAAGGCAGGTGAGGAGGGGTCACATTACGCTACCCCAACCAGAGATCAATGCTATGAGAGAGAGATCCATATCTCACTGCAAGTCTATAAACAATAAACAAACTATAACTGTTTTCTTCCAATTTACCGTCAGAACAAGAAGCGTTAGAACAAGCTAATGGGTTTCAATCAATATTCCCCACTTTACGGAAACACCGCAGTCACATTAACAAAAAGCAGGGAAGCATAAAAAAGTGAGAGTCATTAGCTCCGTGTGCATAGAAACGGCCTGATTATCGGGCCGAGAGCATTAGGCAGGTGAACTGACCCTTTGTAGAACTGGGGTTTGGGCAGGAGTCCCTGCTGCACCAGCTGGAAGAGGAGCTGGCCCATGTGGTCCCGAGTTATCTGACTGCGCTCCAGAGTCGACTCCACCCCGACGCGCACAAAGACGTTTAGCTGAGAGCCCAAGTCGAGCTCGTCCACGCACTGGATGGCCTCCTGCAGACGACAAAGGAATATGATGGACACTGTGTGAAGCAGGGGAACATTAAACAGCAGGACAGGAATCTATATACTTAGAAAAAGGGGTTTCACAGCATCACCAAAGCACATTTCATTAGCACTGAACAGGCATCCACTGTGGATTTCTGTGAATCTCAGTACCTTGTAGTCATTTATGTGCAGGAACTCGTCGATGATGGACTTGGACTTCCTCTCGATCTCCTCCTCAGACAGAGCAGGTCTGTCCGGGGTCTGGACCACTGGCTCAGATTTCACTGTGAGAACAACAGCGACAACAGTGCTTTGTCTGAGGTATTGACGACGTACAGCGTATTGATATTTGCTACTGGGGTGATCCTTTTGTTTACAAACAGGATTTCAACCTGCTGCTGCTCCTACATTGATTTACATGTGTTGTAATAAAGAAAAAACATTTTATAAAGTAAATGAAGATGAAATTAAGGTATTTATGTTTGCTGATAACATTAAAAGGTGTGTTTACAAAACTGTTAAACAGCAGACAAAGAGGTTAATATGTTAAATGGTTTTAAAAAAAAGTTATAATTTATGAATGATTACAAAATGATATAATTTTTTTGTTTTGTAAATAAAGGTGAATATTAGGGCAAAAACCAGACTTTCTAGCTGCTGCTGGTCCGAGAAAACTGCCAATAAAACTGTGATTTCTAATCTTATATTTTTATGATTTTATATTGTATGTAACTACAAAACATCCAGGATTTTTGATGCCAAATGAAACCTGTTCATGTCTTCAAATGATAGAAACCAAATATCAGAGTGGTATGTCCAGTGTTGTGCAGCGCAGCGTTCCTCACCAGGCTCCCTGACTCTGCTGCGCTCTGCCTCTGTTTTGTCCTCGGTGACACTCGGTCTCCGGGGCTCGGCCCCCTCTCGCTCTCGGTCTCTCCGAGGCTCATCGGGGGTTTGACTCTCCAGCAGCTCCTTCGAACTGCCCCCCCTGATGAACGGCCCGGGCCGTGACGACGGAGGGGCAGAGATCAGCGGCTTCTCGCTGCGTTCCCTCCCTGTGCTGCTACGACTGCAAACAAATGAATGAATCAGGACGTTGCTGAATCTGAGAGATTAACTATCTGAAGCACAAAGAGACAGGGAGCTCTAACTATGACCCCCGGTGTTTGTCCTTTACCTTCCCAGAGTTCTCCTGGAGTCAAAGTCTGGGTTCTGTGGAGGAGTGGTGGAGGGCTGGGGTGAAGGCGTAGACTGCAGTGCAGAGTAACGATTGAGGCCAGCTGTCCGAGATAGTTCTGAGAAAAATTATGGAGACACAAAAATTACCAAAAAGTAAAAAGTAAATAATATATAGAGTCCTCATAACACAGCAACTGTTCAGCTTCTCTTTCTTGGTCTAATTTTCATTATTTACTCAACTATTTCTGACACTTTTTATGTCATACTCCGTTTCGGGCATACTGACATCACAACTGTGTGACATTTAGATGAGCTACAATCTGACCATGACACCGATTTTCACCACTGAGTTTGGGCCGATCACAAAGCACAGGCGACGTATTGTGTCATGGTTAAGTACTTTCATATCTTGCTGACTAATCTAGTTGGAACTTGATAATTCCCAAGAAGTTTACAACTGTAGTAACTCAAATCCTGATGTGTAATGTCAACCAGTGAAATCAGATCCAGAGAGCTGAAGGATTTAGAAGAATAGTGCTCCACCTCCGGGTTACTTTTGATGGATACGTACAATGGATCTGATGAAATCTGCTTGGCTGACGAACAAGTTTTAAGCTTATGCAATGCTTGGAGACCCACTGTGGTCACGGTGGGTCAGTTAATATGTATATTCTTACCTGAGTCACTGGCTTTGGCTCCTCCACTGCTGCCCTTCACCCACGTGACTTGAGCACGGGGCCCCAGCTGGATCT